GGATGGAATTTTGCTCTCGGAGGTATGAACCTGAGCTTAAAATTAAGTATAAAACGGCTGATTTATTACATCACCTCCATAAAATTGACTTTAAAATCCCATCGGTTGCGGATTCTATCCACATCGAATCAGGGACGTTAGGAAACCGTCCAAGAAACATAGCAACACTGTCAGGTTTAAATATTAAAAAAAATTAGTTCGAAAAGGAAAAATATATCCTTATTATCGTGCAAGTTCCCCTCGTTAGGCTCAATGGCCTAAGTTCAATAATCAACCCCTGAATTACGTGCACAATTAAGCCTCACCAAAAACCAAAAGGAAGTAACCACACCTGGAAAGTATATCCTGTTGCCTATTCATATGAAAATAGCTACGAGCAGTTTCTTGAGATTCACTAAAAAGGAATTATTGGTGTAATTTTCGGCTATGCAGACTTCGATCATGCAAAAAAGAAGGTCAGGCCTATCACAGCAGCCAACAATTTCAACACGCAAACGACCGACAGGTAAGAAATAAAAAAGGCCGGCAATTCACTTTACTTAAACAAATTACTAATTTAAAAGTATAAATTCAAAGGACATATTTGCTCAAAAATAACTTATCGAATTATTAATATAGAATACATCGTACGTACAAAAAACATCTCAATAAACCTGACAGGAGAAAATTGGATAACCTAACGTAAAGATCAGTGTGAAGTATGCTTTCTACGTCCTTGCTCGAAGGAATAATTTATTCTGATGTAGCGCGTTCATCTTCGAGTAACATTGGAAATTCAGATTGTGAAAACCGTGTAAAACGAAGAAATGGAAATCAGGTTATTTGGAAACGGCGTGGTGGTTCTTGGGTTAGCCACGTCCCATTACAATAGAAAATACAGGTACGCATGGCTGATCAGGCCATGTATCACCAGGGAAACCAGAGTGTGTTCGTTGGTAGTAGACTCTAGACCCTGCTACCACCCCCTGCTCTGCATTGGATATAAAAACGGAAATAGCAATCGAAAATAACAAATCAATAACACATAGAAACCCAAATCAAATAAGCGGCATAATGGAAATCATCAGATAGAAGTTTTGGATCTTTTCAGATGTTCCACAAACACACCCCATCTCTCTTCGTCACACACCATCTTTCACACATAACTTTGTCACACACACACACACACCATCTTTCACATACAACTTTGTCACACACAACTTTGTTTTACTTCTCGATCCTCCACCACCTCCTTTGTCTTTCCTTCTTTCCCCGTCCCCGCTACAACATTTGGTGCGCATTATTGGAAGAAGTTGCCTTGTAGGGTTATCCGGTCCTTTAATTTCTTTTTTATAATACAAGAAAATTTCGCAATATAACTATGCAACCTTTCTACTTGCAAGCCCATGCCTACCTTGACCAAATTATTTTTGAATATTTTGCGAATATACTGCAGCTTCTAAATCGAAGGCGATGCTTGCAGCAAGCATTTTGCGGCAATAAACAAGGAGCAAGTCAACATAAGAAGCGAGTCTCAATAACATGGAATCCAAGCCTTTAACGCAACCAATGGCCGTGCAACTTTAACTTCAACACGAATACTCAAAATAGTAACTTGTTTCAAAAGTTGCAAGTGTGCTACATCTGCCCCGGCTTGCGGCAAGAGCTTCTATCCTGAGTCTTGCCTTCGGATTTACATGAAATAATTTTTTTGTCTTGCATAATTTGGGCAACCTCGCATTGGAAAATTAACCCATCCCATGTTGGTTGACAAAGGCAACTCAAATGCTGCTTCCTGATTTTTTCCGGCTTGCAAGACATGGTGAGCTCGTTGCCGCAAAACCTGAGAACAGCACAGGGCAATACAGCCATGAACATAAAAATCTACTGCCAAGGGTTAAATACTGGGCGCCAAGCCAGTCGTGGGTCTTTGCCACATGGAACTGAAGAGAAATCCTGCAACCGATCATGAATATGCCAAATGCCTGGTTACAGGTTGGTCATGGTGTGAAGGTAAAGCGAGGAACAAGGTCCTCTCCATCGCTGTCAAGAAACTCGTCATCAGCCTGCGAACTGACATGAATGTGCACGGCTCCAAGAGCCAAGCTTCGGCTGATTGAATCGGATGGCCAGTGCGAGTGCAGTTTCACAAGCCCTTAGTATGCGCGCAACTGACTCATTTTCTGCCTGGCTCTGGATGCGCATGGGGCGATTCAAAGGGCGCACTTGTGGTACCTTGCGCAAGAAATTTGAAACAAAAACTAGACGACGGATGGCCCGAGAGCGTAGAGGAGCAGGGTCTTCTCTTGTTAGTATGGAGACACCATATTACAAAACAATATATTAAACATGTGTGATAGGCAGACGAGAAGAGGAGTATCCAGACAATATAGCACAAGTACAAGACAATAGTTTGCATCACAAACACTTTTCCACACAGAAGCTTTTACACACAAAAGCTTTTACCCACAGAAGCTTTTACACACAGACGCTTTTACACACAGACGGTTTTACACACAAACGCTTTTACACACAGAAACTTTTACGCACAGACGCTTTTACACACAGACGCTTTTACACACAGAAGCTTTTACACACAGACCCTTTTACACAAAGAAGCTTTTACACACAGATGCTTTTACACAAAGAAGCTTTTACGCACAGAGGCTTTTACACACAGACACTTTCACACACACAGACGCTTTCACACACAAACGCTTTTACACACAAACACTTCTACACACAGACACTTTTGCACACAAAAGCTTTTACACACAGACGCTTTTACACACTAACACTTTTACACACAGACGCTTTTACACACAAACACCTTGACACACAGACACTTTGACACACAGACACTTTTGCACACAAAAGCTTTTACACACAGACGCTTTTACACACTAACACTTTTACACACAGACGCTTTTACACACAGACGCTTTTACACACAGGAAATCGCAATTTTACCTCAGTTTTTGGCGATGGAACCTCATTTCATGCGAAAAGGTCGCGATTGGACAAGAGAAATTGCAATTTCACCTCAGTTTTTGGCGATCGAACCTCGTTTCGTGCGAAAAGGTTGCGCGGGACGACTTGCAAATCGCAATTTTACATCAGTTTTTGGCGATCGAACCTCATTTCGTGCGAAAGGGTTGCGCGGGACGACTTGGACATCGCAATTTTACTTTAGTTTTTGGCGATCGAACCTCATTTCGTGCGAAAACGTTGTACGGGACAAGTTCAAATCGCAATTTTACATCGCAATTTTACCACAGTTTTTGGCGATCGAACCTCATTTCGTGCGAAAGGGTTGCGTTTCGTGCCGTCTCGTTGGCACTGCCCCTGCCCCCGCCTTCAGAAGAGAAATAGAAAAGAAGGAGAGGGCAAGAGGGCAAGAGGACAAGAGGAGAAGATGTGAAGATGTGAGGGCAAGAGGGCAAGAGGGCAAGAGGCAAGAGGAGAAGATGTGAAGATGTGAGGATGTGAAGATGTGAAGATGTGAGGATAAGAAGATGTGAAGATGAGCAGATGTGAAGATGTGAAGATGTGAAGATGAGCAGATGTGAAGATGAGAAGATGTGAAGATGTGAAGATGTGAAGATGAGAAGATGTGAAGATGAGAAGATGTGAAGATGAGAAGATGTGAAGATGAGAGGATGTGAAGATGTGAAGATGAGAAGATGTGAAGATGTGAAGATGTGAAGATGAGAAGATGTGAAGATGTGAAGATGTGAAGATGAGAAGATGTGAAGATGAGAGGATGTGAAGATGTGAAGATGTGAGATGATAAGAAAATGTGAAGATGAGAAGATGTGAAGATGAGAAAATGTGAGGATGAGAAGATGTGAAGATGAGAAGATGTGAAGATGAGATGAAGATGTGAAGATGAGAAGATGTGAAGATGAGAGACAGACCCCCACTATTGGAAGAACCCTGCGCTCAGACGCTCTCGGGAAAAATGATATCGGTTTGGCAGGCAACGCTCTATCTAAATTCCATTTGTTTATAGTTGACCAGGGCGGCCTTCTTCCGCAGCATTGGCTCTGCAAAGCCACCTGAGGCTGCCTCAGCTGCAGCAGCTGACCCCTGTGATCCGCATGCAAAGCCACTTGGCGCTCCCGCTGTCTCATCCAGAGATGAAACCAATTTGGATACAACCAGCCTAGGCGCTTCACCATCTTGTGCTGGAAGACAAACTAAACCACTAATTTTTTGAAACTGCTTTGGCTGAACTACAGCTGCCCTCTTGAATGACTGGCTTCGCGCTAAGGTGTGTTTGGGATGAGCTGCGGCTCCAGGTCTTGCTGGTTGAATTCAATGTCGGTTCTTGCAAATAAGGGCCAAGCCTCAACGTGCCCGTCCTTGCAGCCTCATACAGCTCAGAAAGTTTGATGCTGTGCATCGCCCAGCCCAGCTGCATCAATTGGCCTCAGAAACCATTGGTGAACGCGCCTGTGCCACATGATGGCATCAGCAAAGGGGGTGCAAACACCCAAGAAACAAAGCCCACCACGGCGCCGTAATTCGGCGCTGCCAGTGATGCGACCTGCTGGAACCGTAAGGTCCTGAGCACAACGGGAAGTGACAGCTGCATGGTCTATTTCCCAAGTTCAAACGAAACTGACATGAAGTCCTCAAGGCTCAAGACGTCGATCAAATGCAGCTGCCGCTTGAAAGTGATCGGCACCCGGTGGCATCCCACCACTTGCTGTGCCTTGAGAACAAAAGAGCTGAATGAATTTGTGGCTTTGGATTTTCCATTCTGTTGCTGCCTGATGAGGCAAATGCAGCTGCGACAGTGTGACTGTCAGCCTTAATCAGCATTGGGGAAGTTCCGCAAAAATATCGGCAACCGCAATGGCAGCTATTCTAACCATGTCTGTGTCCACATGGCCGGAAGAGGTGTCTTGAGGACACAGCCATGTCTCGTAACTATACCTGCGCTTCGATGCTTCACAGCTGTCTTCCAGGACTCTCCTCTCGCCTTATGCTGGCACTGCATTATCATTGCTGCACATTGCGCAAGCATATCGCTAGTGCCCATGCCTTGCAGCAGAAATCTGCTTCCGGTTGCGCTCTGCACGCCTCGGCCTGAGGCCCAAGTCTTGGTAAGGGCGGTTTAGCAAGGTCACATCTGGCCTTCACTGGTTTGGCGGATTATCCTTTTTCAACCGAAGGATATGAAAATGAAAATCGAAAGGCCGAGGGGAAGAAGGCAATGCCACAATGGACAACGTGAACGAGGATTGATTGACTAGAGACAATGGTTTTTATCCCGTAAATTCATGTGCAGCTTCTGAAAGCAGAAGCAAACTGTTGAGGCGTCGAGCTGTTGTGGTACATATTGGTCTTCACGAGGAACCTTCGCATGGAGAAAGGTGGGTTCGAAGCTTCGTAACAAATGCCAGTGAGAAATACAAAAAACGCAAATTGACGGGGCCTCTAGAACCAACTCCATCCACTCCTTGACTTTGCAAGGTACTGACCTTAGACATGCGCACATGGGAATCGGACAAGTCAACCTTGACTGTCCCTGCATGTTCAGAATAGTGCAGGTACCAACAATGAAAAAATACGAAAGCAAGAATGGCCAAGATGAGTGTATATATTTAGTATATCCAATTTTTGTTCTCACAGAAACTGATTCAACTCCGTGGTTTTTGGCCCAGAAAAAAAATCCCGCCAAGGCCCGGGCTCTTTGTTCAGTTTGGCCTGGCTCGGACTGCCGTTTCTTGGCAATCCATAGCAATCCCTTGAAAACGAATCTCCACTCCTAATCCCCTTGAGAGATTGCTAATAGCAATCCGAACTTCTTCTTCCCTCTTCACATTGATTCTGCCCATTTCCTATCAGAAAGGTTCAGAAATCGCAGGAACCTGCAAAACCTGGTGCGAATCTTTTTGTCTCTGCAGCTCTGCAACAGCGTTGACGCCGAATCCGCCGAGCTCTCTGGTTGCAACTGCTCCAAGACCTAATCAGGAAGGGTGAATCCTTTGATGACAGGTTCAAAAGCGGGTTGTAGTCTATGTATATTGTTCTATTTTGACATCAGCGCAACACTCCGATACTCCTAGAATTGCAATGGCCTTGCCACTTGTGTCCCACCGGCAGAGAGACCCAGCACCTCTTGAAGGTCTGGAGGCAAAGGACTCTCTTCGTCAATGTCCCATGCAGCGCCTGCCATGCCAGCGCAGGATGAGAAGTGCAACGGTAGAAATGCAACAGCACATGAGTCACATGAGACTGCGGCAATGTTACGAATCCCTGGGATGATACTTGTGTCCTTCAACTCCGCCAAATGAGAATCAAACGAGCTTCCTGAGATGTTGAGATTGATCTGCAATCGAAAAGCATGTAGAAACACCTGAGCTGCAGTCTTGATGGAAAACTTTCAGCATCCAGGACGGGGCAGGAACGACACAAGTCATAAGTTCTTTCGCTTCAATGACGAGTTTTCACGCCATCTAAGCCCCGGTGCCCGGCAAGGTGCTGGGCTCCTTCCACCATAAGCCTAGCTACATTGAGGCAGGCGCTAAAATGGACATGGATCCTGGTGTCATGGGAAAAAGGCCTCGTCTCCAGCCAACGGATGGCCCATATGACTGCAATGCGCTCGGATTTGATGGGTTCGGCCTGCATGAGCATGAAAGCGATTGGATCTTGGAACGAGGATTGAGCGCTTGCCCCCAAGACAAATTCTCCAAAGCATCGCCGTTTTTTGGCACTGTGGCACCTGTATGCAGTCGGAGGGACAGCAGGCTCCAAGCCTGCAGGAAATTCATAAATCCAAAGCGTTGAGGATGACAGTTTACTTCTCCCATTTTCCCAGATGCAAAAATTAATTCTGAACCTATTTGCATTTTCTACAGTTGTTATACTTTTTTTTTGCCCGTTCATGTTTGAAATCCACAAAAGGCTCTCACTTCCAGCCTGTTCCTGGGAATCGCTCAGGTGGACCACTTTCAAGACCTTCCGAGGTGGACTGGAGAGTGTGGAATTCACCGATGCACAGGTCACGCCTCTGTCAAAGCTGTCTGGCCGTTCTCATCCACACGGCTTCTGGAAATACCTGACGTCTACATCTGTGTGCTGATAAGTGCCAGAGTCACATGACAATCAGTGCTGTTCACATCACTTCCGTCAATAAACGAAACAATCTCACAATCAAGTGCGAAGCAATCCATGCTCGCAGACTTACCTGGTGCAATTTCGGTAGTGCGAAGGGGGAAGTCCATCGTCAGAGGCGCCTGCAATCCGTTGGGGCATGAAGCATAGGGATATGTTGAAAGCCCTTCAAGCGTAGCAGCTCATACTTGACTCCATCACCCTTGCTAACGCTTCTAAATCAGTGCTACTTCCATAAAGAAGGGTGATAAGATGGAAGCAATACTAGTTTGTCACTTTGGACCACCTACAAGATGATTGTGACCGTTAAAGATAAATCATATCACTCTCTACATCCCGCCTTTTGGAACCGCCCTTGGCACAGTGCTATGTAGTTCTTCTGCACCTCAAAGCAGATCTGTCAGATTCAGTCGACAGCTGGTGTACAATCCAAGACCCTTGCAAGAAAAGGATGGGTTCCTGGTGAACAAAGTGGAAAGACACAGGGCTCCTTTGTTGTTGGATCTTCCTTAAATTTAGCTAAATGGTGGGGAAAAATGGGTACATCAAATCATATCCCACATCTAGTTCAACGGAATTGTCCAGCTAATCACTTATCGGCTTCAGAGCCATTGTTCAGTCCTAGGTCTAAGGCCACCACCCGACGGTTGTTGAACTGGAACTTGGCAGCAAAGTATCCAACATAAGTCCTGGGAAAGGAGCTCCAAGATGCAACTGACACAACCGTGCGCCGACAAAAACTGCAACCCCAGCTTCAATAAGCGTATTGCCAGAAACCTGTAGCCTGACGCAGTCTAAGGCTCACGCTTCGCACAGAGCAGGAGCCCGGAGGTGTCACGGTCCAAGCGATGAACAAAGCCTTGGTCAACGCAGTGGAGTTTGCTCAGAACTACCACCCTGAAATGAAATCAGCAGAAGTTCCTATCGCCTGTGAAAGTCGGCCCCTACTACCTACAAATCGGGTGTGGCTCCAGACAATTCCCACTTGCACCAGCCATGGACAACAAACACCCTATTTATCAGCATTGTATCCAAGTTGGCCAACATGTTCCGAGCAGACTCAAGCTGGACCTCAGTGGCCAACCGAAGTCCGCTTCAGGATCCCAGGCAATGGCATGAGAGCTTCGGGCCTCTAGGGCTCGTGGGAGCCATGGTTCAACTCCTTCCACGGATACTTCACCAGCTTCATGGGAAAAAACATGAGCATGTGGAAGTGAGGGTTACCGATTTTTCTCAAATCCACGTGAAAATCAGACACCACCCAAGTATCCCAGGTGCGCCTGGAACCAGCGAGCCATGGACCTGCAACAGCCAGGTAAAAATGGTTCGCCGTCCACAACATCCACAACATACATCTCAATGAAAGGTGCAACTTACTTTCAATCTTAAGGGCGAGCTCCAAAATCTGGAAAGTAAATGGCCATAGCATCCCATAGCATACGAAGATTCCTCTCTCATGCATCTTGTGGAACAGATTTTGTGGTTGTGGGTGTGATAAACCTCAAACACAGGGCTAATGTGCATTGATCCTTGGATGAAAGGGCTTCACCAAAGGGGTGATCAGCACATCTTTCCAAATGTTCCCATTTTTCCACAGATAGAAGACGGGATCTTTCTCCACATGCTCATCGGATTGCACCTTGCTTTGCCGGGAGTATCTCCACCAACCTCAGGATCCAGCTGCTACGTGTAACATCAATGAGCAGCAATAGACCTGGGGCCAATGTTTCCATGATGCTTTCTTTTACAAGTATCATGTCTGAGTCTGGGCATATCTGGCCAAATGCTGCATAGTGTCATCCAAATGGTTTCCGTGTTCACTTGTTGGGGGACGTGGCGTCATGGAAAGGAAACTCCCCAGCTGCAAGTTGCTTCACTCCGTCTTGAACTGAGCTTTCGCGCGACCCAAGAGGGCGGCTTGAACAAGAGTTGAACATGCGGATTCTCCCGCAGAACCTCAGGATGGAAGCATGGACTTAAGACAGGGACAGGGTCAGCAAAATCTAGGTTGTACAGCTTCAAAAACCAAAAACAACTTTGTGTCGTCTCAAAGCTGCCCAGCTGATGGTGAACTGTCATCATCTTCCTCCTGAAGAGCAAAACTGCGGAGGCTCGGAAACAACTAAGAAGCAAAACAATGTCGATGGGATTTGGCTTAACCTTGACATCCAAGAATGGTCCTTGACAGGTGACATCTCAGCGTCCATGGCCTTAGGGTCAAATGGATTTGCTATTTGCGTTATTAGCAATGCCACCTTTCAACTTCATGGCTTTCCAACCCTGGAACAACATGTATGGCGACAATCAACATATGGAAACATATCAAAAGCATATGGAAACATTATACCCCTGATAAATGTGCACACATCGAAGCGGACAGACTAACTTGGACATACTAATTGAAGCTCAGGCTTCCACATTTGTTGACATCTCGTCCATCTCGGCTGCCAAATGCTGGAGCCTGAAAAGACTTCATTGATTAATGGAGTTTCACAGAAAACTTGTGATCATACGATGAGGAAATTGTCAAAGAAAGAATAGACTCAGTAGACAACTTCCCTGCATCCACATCATGTAGGAACCCGGCGCAGTCGCATATTCCTGGACTGTGTCAGACCTTAGAAATCTGACCATGGCAACCTTACATCCAATGACTAAATAGCTCCAATCATAGACGGAAATCGTGCTTCCTCGTGGGGGAATTCAGGCTCACGGCTTCATACATTCAAACTTCAAACAGGTTATGAACCCCACCTCATACCTCCGTTTATTATGACGGCTGAAGTCTTGAGAAATAAAGAGCACCAAAATGCTTTTCAGACATCTTCAGGCTTGGCAAGGGTACATACTACTACAAACTTGTGTAGGGGCAGTTGCAAAGGAATCCGTCATGGAATTTTCTTGGATTTCACTTTTTTCACATGCATCTAGCATCTTCTGCTAAGACTAAGGAAGCGACATTTTCAAGTCTGTAAATGCCTGCCTGGGAAACGGCCACTTGACAGCTCGAATTCACAGAATTGAAATGTACAAATCCCTTCAGAACCGTCTAACCCATCCAAAACTTGAATGATCTGATCCCTCAGAACCCTTGACAAGGAAGTGGATACAGAACTGTCTCCAGCGCTTTCTGTAGTGCCAGGTGTAAAATGTTGAACGATGAACAGTTTTGCTCCAGCCGATCCAAAGCCACTCTTTCCATGATAAATTCGATCTTCATTCCATGAAGATCACTGAAGGTCCAAGGCTCCCAACACCAAACACAGAATGGTCGTGGCCACGGAATGGGCACCATCCAACCCTTCGCCTGGCAAAAAATGGACATCAACATCCATCCCAATGTGAAATAGATATTAATCAATGACAACAAAGTGAACAACCCTCCAAGCACTTCCGGTTCCCCGTGGCTGCCCGCCTGTCAAAGGTTCACGGTCCTGGCCAACGGTGCGCTGCTGTCATGGCTGGTGGCTGATGCCCGGGTCCTTCAACAGCAGAGCACTTCGAGATGCCACTGCGTCCAGAACCTGGGATCACTCAGCAAAATTCATCCGTATGGGGCAGTATGGGGGCAAAACTCATGATACCCAGTTGAACATCTTAAATATGAACAGAGACGCTAGAGTGTTGATTTAGTGTTGGGCCCCATACCATTTTCAAATGGGTTTAACATGGTTTAATAGCATCCCAAGTCCCCCAACTGAGGCAAGAGCGGTTGGATCATGTAGCTGCAAAGTCCCATAGCACCACGCGATGTTGCCCAATTCCTGGTGCCGGGGTGAGCTCTGTGACAAACATATTCTGATTGAAATACCTGAAACGACTTGAACACATCCACATCCAGGGTGTTTTTCAAATGGGATGCCAAGGACTCCCCAACACCCCAACATACCTACACAATGTCGAAAGTAAAGACCCACCAGGCACCCACACATTCCCCCATGGATATGGGTTGAAATTATTAATCCCCCGACATGGCTGGAGTACAAAAAAAACATGCTGAATTTGGGGAGTGCATTGGTGCCCATCCCCATACCCTGGCTGTTGGCAGCAACCAGCCATCGCCCATGACCTGCAAGCTGAACTCCTGCATGTGTTGAAGCAACGGAGCGACCTCGGTGGATCGTACGGTCGAAAGCTGGGTGAATTTTCTGGGTGAAACAAGCGAGCTCTGAAAGAAAGCAAATTGTTGATATTTGGCAATCTTTCCGAGTTCCAGCTGCTTTTAAAGTTTCAGCTCTGCCAATCTTACATGTCGCCAGTCTTTGCCTCAAATCTCACGCTTCCCCTACATCAACTACAAGCAATATTGATCATATATGGCCAGAAATCAAATTTTATTGGCAAACTTACTATCAGATTCATCATTACCATCACCTTTATATTCGATATCGATATCCATACATGCCATACATCATATTTCATCTCCAATTTTGGTCCTTGTTCCCATGTTCCCTTTAGAACGGCACCTCTCGGCCCCCTGGCAGGAGGATGGATCTTGAATGGATAGTGAGTTGGGATGGAGTTTGAAAGAGGTACTGGCTAGTGCACATTTAAATGCATGTAATAAATATATTTAATGTGTATGGTTGGTGACAGGACACTTTTGGGTAGCAATGATCGGGAGTAAACATCCATTCCCGAGACACCTGTTTACCAAGTACTTAACACATGGGCATCTGTGCATTTACTTGCAATGATCACGTGGGCAAATCCGTCTTGATTAATATATAGCCATACCATCAACCAAAAACCAGGGGGAAAAACCATTCTTTTCCAACATCTTTGGGGGAACCGTAGAACTTGGTTCTTGTTTGACTCAAAGGCTGCCTTCGCACAGGACGTGGATCAGAGGAAGGTCCGTGGTGACCATCTTGGCGGATGCTCACAACCTGCTGGATCACAGATTCAGTCTGGAATTGTGTTGGAGGTTTGCAAGGTATAGCTGGTTCCAAAAACGGAAGACCTTAGTCAAATCATGTTGATCCATGAGCTGGCAATTTGAGGGATACCCGATTCTTTGGACATATCTGCGTCTTCATGTTTTTTCGACACCATCCCAGCCAAACACCATCCATCTTCATTTGGATCACAAAATCAAAAGGCAGAATCCGCACTTATGTTGGTGGCAAGAATCCCTCACATTTGTTGATTGATATCCCCCTTGTTGTGGGTTGAATTCTTCTTGATGAAACCAATCCTTTTGTTGGATGCCCTCCACTTTGACAAAACAAGTCGATCGTAAAATCCCCCATTTTGGTTAAAAGAAAACAGGGCCGGGCACATTTCTGTGCTTAAAAATCACCAAAATCCATTGCTGACCCAAAAAAAACCCGACCCCACCTGTTGGCCAAGTGTTGCGGCTCCATCTCCTCCACTAATCGCTGCGCCGCGGCAGCCAGCGCGGCGGTGCAGGGAGGGGCGGTGAAGGCGGTGGTGGCGGGGGACCAGGCCTTGGTGGTGGCAAAATGGGAAAAACCCACAATTTATAGATGATTTTCCCACCAAAACCTCCATTTATGCGGGATGATGGGAGGGTACTAGATGAAATATCAATTTATTGATGGGTAAATCGATTGATGATTCAAGGATTTTTAGTTTCTTGAAGAATTTTAGAGCAAAAGTAATGGATATTTGAAACAGAAAAATATGCCCCAAGGTGAAGAAATCTGAGATGCTTTCATCTGGATGGTGGTTGGTACTTTTTATCAGCATGGTCTAAATTGAAACTGCAGGACTAGTCTTTGATGACAGCGCTGAGGGCGAGACCAGGTTTGCAATATCCTGCGTGCTGAGCTCATCTTGCAACGTTAAGACCTGTCCAGCAAAAGGACTGAATGCGGTAAACATCATCTCGCTACAAAGGTCAGATCTGAAACAAATCCCGCAAACATGTATCCCAAACCTTCCCAGTTCTTGTTCAAGCGATATCTTTGCAAGAAGATTCATTCCGTCGTGCACTTCCCAATCCCGCCTTGGGTTTCTCAAATAGATCCAGTCATGGTCTGAACATTACAACCAGAGCTACAACCAATTCATTGAAACATTCAACCAATCCATCCCCAATCGTTGTTGACCCCATCCTGGTTTTGAATCCATGAATCTCAAGATACCGAATGATTCCGTTGGTAAAATCCTGTAATCACTCCACTCAGCATCTTCAAGAAGTCCAGTGATACAGTTTCAAATCTCAATTTTCCCAACGCAAACTCATCAATCATTGAAACATCCCACTTTTCCCATCCAAAGTCACGCCAAAAAATCCAATTACATCAATCCGTCCACTCAACATTCCACTCAACATATCGACATCTGTATTCAACCAATCCAATGATTTCCCACATGACTGGTGAGACTTTGGGTTGAAATCATCACAATTTTACATCCCCAAGTTTCAAGATGGATCCAGTTTTATGGGAACTAATTCATCAATATGCCAAAATCCACAACAGAAATCTATCAGTTTTCAATCCCCTCATCCCTTAGCACCTCCTCTGCCACCATGTCGAAGAACGGCTGCTGCTTCCGCCGCAGCGCCGCGGCCGCCCAGGCAGTGATGGCCAGCTGCTGCGGAGCGAAGGAAATGCCATGGGAGGCGACCAGGGAGGTGATGGCATCTGGCGGGTGGGGGAAAGCCCATGGTGGATAGGAAAAATGGTGGAAAGTTGATAGTAAATATGTCCTACAAATTCCTACAATATATCTGAATCTACTCGGGAATGCTTAGAGGTATAGGTAAGGATAGTAAAAAATGACGATGAGTGAAAGCTCATAGTTTCGGTCAAAAACATCCAGATTCTCAAAAAACATCATTCTGAAACAGCTTCAGAGGAGGCTTAAAAAAACATCAACACATCCCCAAAAATGGCAAGAACCATTGATGCACCTATCACCGGAGATCCCGTGTTGGTCTTGCCACAGGCCCATGCCACGCCCGCCAGCTGCTGTGGGGCAAAGTGGTGCAGCTGCTCCAAGCTCCAGCGACTCAGGCAGTGCAGCAGATCCTTCATGGCTTTGGGGGGCCAAAGGCCAGGTGGAAAAAATGACCCAAATCATCTGATGGAAATGGATCTAGAATGACTCAACTAAAAATCGATCATCTACCCAAAATCTCAGAAGAATGTATTCCTTTTGCATGGAAGCATCGACTTGGGGGTATGCAGGTTGGAGACACTCCCGTATTTTCGGAAGAAGTAATAACCTTATTTTTTTAAAATGTGCCATTAAATCTTCCACGGGTGCTTCCAAGGATTCAGTCTGTTTGAGTGGGATTGAATCACAAATCATGTTCACTCACATCGCTCTCGTAATCACCGTTGGCCAACAACTCATCTTGCCACAGACCCTTCCCACTTCTCCTCATCTTGATATTCCACGGTGGCCACAGCCCAAAAGAGCTGAGTCCCTTCGATGATCTTCGCCTTGCAGAGAGAGGGGAACATTTCCTTTTTTGGGCAGCTTGTAACGCGAATATTTTTATTAAACAACACTAGTTTTTGGATGAAATCCAGCAACATGATTTCCATTCTCCCACAACTTCATCAACTCCAGACCTGTTGGCCCCAAAAATCCACCAACCAACCCATCCTCAGTGGACCAACAAAAACCCAGCACCTCCGGCAGGGTGGCCTTTGCGACCGGAGCCAAGGCGGAGAAGAGGGGCAAGTGCTTGAACGATGCCTGGCCGTGCCGCTGAAACCGGGGGATTTCCACATCCGCATCCCAAAACCTGGCTTTCTTTGGGCGAGTTTCATACAAACTAAATCAGAATCCAACTATGATTCTCTTTTTTGTTGTTTTTCAAACATTATTTCGATCATGAAACTCTTCAACAAACATGTTTGCTTTAGCAGGAGAACCACTCTAGGACTTTAGATAGAGAAGGAAAGTTGCAGGTCCCACCGGCAATAGAGTTGAGCCCACCTCCTATATGATTTTCTACCTCTACCTGACAAGCTAACAAAATCAGCTCAGCCCTAACAGCCCCAGCCTCTGCGAATGCTCACGCCATGCTGGAGATCGCTTGCGCATTGAACTCGGATGCCTTGGCGCATCCACGGTCTCCTTGCACAGAGCTACAGATGGGACGATGGGTAGGATCATAGCTTGGGCCCCGTGACATGCTGTGTGTATTCATCTCGATCTTTGCAATTTGAGCCATGTCCAAAACATCAGAAGCAAACGTGAGTTCCACCCTGCCACCGATCCCCTGCCATCCTAAAGTCTCCATCAATTCCGGGTGATGAAAGCGGAGTTTTGCCGCTGCTCACGCCAGGTTGGACAACCCCTGCGCTTCAAAGTCGTCTCTGAGATGGATGGCACCTGATGGGCAATGCCACTGCATGGATCACCTCGACGAGGCAACCAATTGCAGCTCAGCAACGCTTGGCCATTGAAACCATAAAGGGCTCCTCCAACCTGCACAGCTGGGATGTCAATCCAAAAAAAGTGGAGGAACTGCATATTGCTGGGCCAAAAGTGCAAACTTTTCTGAGTTGATTCCAAGATTACCATGATGCCGAGAAGAGGGAATCTTGACACAGTGGGACCTCAAGATGCAAACACATGCAAGGACCACCATGATGAAGACTTTTCCATCGAAACGACTTTGCTGAATTCCAAGCAAGGAAATCATTCCTTAAATTTCCTAGCTAACAAGTCTCATAGATTATTCCCAACTCAAGTTTGAACCATTGAACCAGCAAAAACATCAGACACAATATTGAAACAACACCATCAGCAAAAAAAATATTGGCAATTCCCAAAAAATCACCGCATATTTCTTCAGAAGGGCAGGGATATCATTTTCATTGTTTTATACGCATAGAAACCACAGAAAATGACCGTAGTTTGCTTTGAACCACGACCGCTGGTAGGATTTGGGAGCGAGGCACAAAAGCATCACCGCGAAGGCCCAGGAGGTACTGGCCACTTCCTGCAAACCACGCATAAATTCTTGGCACATCTCAATTAGATATGTAGTGTAATATATGTATATATATATATGTATCTATGTATCTATGTATCTATCTATCTATATCTATATCTTTTTGATATATGTGTATATATATATATATAAAACAATATATCAACGTCTCTTTCATACTTTTACCATCACCATGTGGTTTCCTGATCCATGGAAAGCTCCTCCGCGCGCAGTTGGACCTCGGCCGTGGCCACGGCGCAGAAGAGCGGCTGCGCGACAGCGTCCGTGGCCAGCGCGGCGAAGCTCCACACGGCGTTGGACAAGTCCTGACATGGTCAGGTTGGGGTTTCAGGCCATAAGTGAGATAAGTGAGAAGGTGATATAAGTGATATAAGTGATATAAATAAATAAATGAATAAATAAACAAATAGAGATTGATATAAGTTTTATAGTTATATAATATATCGATGAGTATCATGAAATTCACGTTGTGCCATAGGACAATTTACATCAACTTGTTGCTGCTATCCAAATATTCATCAGTTGATGATAGGACTATTGGGATTACAATGAAAATATGCAAGTGGTTGTAGCCTGATGTATGTTTGGGTCTCAGAAAGGCAATCAGTTGATCCGTTGCTTTTTGTCTTGATCAACGCGGGGCATATTTCTCCAACGACTGGGAGACAAACCAACAAGCAGTGAAAGTAGCTTGGCTTCTCGTTGATCCTGGGGCCCCAAGTGCAAAAAACTGAATCAACACTATGATTTGAATGGAGCCAGACATGGCTAACCCATCCTAACCCCTTTTTTAACATGAAACCCCAATCATCCCCCACAAAAGGTAGGTAGTCGACTGGTTTTGGACGTGTCGGAAGTGTCGTGATGTTTGAGGATCCCCATCCCGCTCCTGGCCATTGGCTTGAGGCAGCTTCTGCAACAACTACTGTGCCACGATGTCCAAAAACGGCTCCTCCCTGACAATTTCACATGGATCCAGGGATGCACCAAACCTCGAAGTGAGGCAAGACCATGACATTTTCATTGATAGGTCTTGGTGTGCCTGAAAATAAAACAACGCAAGTTGCTTTAACCGGATAAACTCCAGTTGCCTGCTCAAACTCAGCTGATATGCACAAGTTGCAAAAGATTTTCCGTTCCACACAAGTTGCTTGAACCCCCTAAAACGTCAACTTCACCACATGTCCCAAATGCAGGGGTTGCAAAAAATGTGGACTCCGAAGAACGATTTGAAGTCACATGGGGTCGTACTTCGAAAACTAATTCACGGTTGTGGGAACCTGAGCCCAATCTTTGAATCACCACCTGGCACGCCCAGGCCTGTACGCCAATCGTGCAAAGGCCCACCTCAGTGTCTACCCTCAAAGTCAAGCCCTAGGATTCCTAGGTTCGATCTCTGTATTTGGATGGTCTTGGAGTTTACCTTATCAAAAAGGACATATTGTTTCAAGGGCAGCAAGTTCCTAAGGTCCCAGGCCCCCTCCAGAGTTGATGTCATTCCGCCGGGGCACACGGTGCGCGCCAAGCCCACAGGTTTCATGAATGGTGCCATGGTCATGCTGCGATCAGCCAAGGCAGGCAGAAAGTCCTGGTGGGTGCTGGGGTGATGGCCCCGATACCCCGCAGCCATCTTGGACTCAACCAATCGGACCAAACAACAATGGACTGGGGGACTCAATTTTGTAGAATGGCCTTGTCAGAGAGGTAGACATCAAGGTCACTGGGCTTTACCGTTCGCTTTCAAGTGTGTATATGCCCAAGTTGCTTCGATTCAACTCATCAAAATGCAACAAATTACCATCATAATTATGGAAAAATATCATCTGAATTTATAATTCATGACGGAAACATAATATCGGCAAACTGACTAAAATATCCAAAAACAGATGAAAACAATAATTAAATGCTGCTATGCCAGATGGAATTCCAGCAACCTCCCGGGCAGAGGCCGAGCTCAGCTTTTCACCCGCCCAGTCACTGGCAGGATCACCGCGGTCCCATTGATCCAACGGGACACCAAAAAGCACCCAGAAATTGCCAGTTGGTGCTCTTTTCACTATGTGAAATATCTGCCAAAATTTAGGGATTCCAACTGAAAACAACTGATCATCAACCAGAATCCTCAGAAATTTTGGTGAGATCGGCCGTGAGTTGATGCCCCAACTCTTCCACTTCTCCCAGCAGCTGACGCAAAGTCATCAGGGCCAAGGGGTGGCGCTCACAGGCCAAGAGGGCAGCACCTGTCGTAGCTGGGGATAGATGTGGGGTTGAAGCAACCTGGTGATGATTTGAAGAAATCATTGGGGGTGCACCAGAACAAAAAACAGGGTTGTAACCAATAATGCGTGGTAAGTTGGTAAGTAGGAATAGGGATTGCGTCAGCAAGAAAAGTGAGCCACCTGCGTTTTTTGTCTATGGAGCACTAGTGGTTCCTTTTTATTCTGGCCCAGCTTGATGACCCAACACTGGCATCAGTTCGCTTGCTTTGCATTAGTCCTATTTTAACTTGTGCAGGGGAATCTGAGGCGTAAAAGAGTTTGAGCTTTCCACTTCACAGTTGCTGCAACCATCCTACTTGCTTGGTTGTATACATATTGTCTAACTATTCCATTTTTGCTCATTCTTCCCCAATTATGTAGATACATATCCCAACAATTCATGGTTTCTCCGCACTATTCTGTGGTTTCAGCAGCCGACACCGAGCCACCATAGGTCAACACATTGGGCCGCAGCGACGCGTCGGTACGCAAACTGCGCAGCAGGGCGACGGCCAAACGCCAGGAACACGCGGAGATGGTGGCGTTGTACCTGAGATCTGGGTTCTCTGGATCCATCCAATGATCCAATGGGCAAATTTTAGTGTAGCCATGGATCCAAGATCTGGACATATTTCTTTGGGAATAATTTTGACAGTGGGAAATCAATATTTGTAGATGCTTTACCATGATTTGCTGATTGAAAATGGGGATTGTTAGGGTCATACAAACTTAGTCATCATGGTAATTAATGAGGCTTAAAATGGGGTGTACCTTTACAAACACCTCGGAATGGGCAATCTGTCGTACAAACACCAACATGGCTAGATTTTTGGAGGGCAATAGTTGTCCCACCCTTTGAAAGTGAGAAAACACACTGGCACAGCTTCAGTAAAGGTAAAAGAACAAAGGTAGCTTGTTAGCAAAAAATCCACGGGTAGCTCGTTGGCGCAATTATAGAGAGACCATCCGTTGGCAAGGTAGCTTCTGCATTGCCGGTTGTAGCCAAACATTTTCCAGCCATATTTCACCAGCAAATGGGTGGTCAAATTGCGACCCGTGCAACCACAGATTTGGCAATTCTAGTGTTAACATCTATCAATCAGTTGAATTTTAATTTTCACTCAGAGTCGCATTGAACATCTGCCAACAAAAACAAACCTTTTCATGCCGGGTAACGTGATGACGTCGACAGACTCTGCCTGTACCAAGAGTTGCAGTGCCATTTGCCACTGGCGGCCCTCAACGCAGGCGCTGACTGCTGCATTGTAAGACACTAAACTGCCCAAACGCCTGGCTGGTGGGAAAATGAAGGATGATGCCAACACAGACCTCTGAATCACCAGGTTTTTGGACTGTCCTCCGGTATTCTTGGACTGCTCCCAATAGCACTGCAAAAATCCATGGTTTCAAATAGGGACATTGGATTTTCCGGCAACTGATAGAACACTCTAGGCAACATCGTTGATTTCTCCATCAACCCATCGCCAAATCATCCTGTAGATACAACATTCAGCGATAAGAACGCCCGAAAAAGATAATCACGTCATGACTGCAACCAAGCGATCTTCCATCGACTCAAAATGATGATATCTTTTTTTGGATATGATTTCATGTTGTGATGATAAAACATCCCAACTATCCCAACACTCATACATGATGGGATGTATATTACCCATGTGTTACAATCTAATTCCCAAACATCATGGGAGGTATATGAAATCATGGAAGGTATATGAAAGCAGACATATCTAATTCTACATCTAATAATCTTAATATCAAATTCTACAGACATACTATATCTAATTATTCTATCCAATTCATCTAGTTATTCTCCGAAGGCATCCCTCGCCTGCGTTGTGCCTCGCTCAGTAGCTGCATTGCCCGCGGCCAGGCGATGCTACACGCCAGGCAGGCGGCAAAGGTCACAGCGTCGGAAGCGAAGGACCTGGGTTTTCCGCGGATGAGGCCATGGGGAAATCATGGGGAAAACGACCAAAACCATGGGGAAGACTAACAGTTTTTGATGTTTTTGTTGATCATGATTGAAGACTTTTGATGATTTTCAATGGCACTTTATAAAAGAGATCATTCAAAAAGATCACCGTTCAAAGATGTCGAGGTTTTTGCAAGATTCGTGTTTGAATGATACTTGACTTGCTGAAAATTGCAGTGTAGTCATCTTCATTTTTCTTTGGGAAATTCCCATGGGGGATTCATCCACCGATTCGAGGTGCAGCAGCTGAATGGCCTCACACCATTGCGACGCCTTCTCACACGCCGTGGTGCTGGCATTCACCGTGATCCTGACGATCTGAGCTGGACATTGAATGGGGGTTTCAGCTGGCCTGGAACTATGTGGACCTATATTTTTCGCTCGAATGCTATACTGACTGTCTATACCCAGATTTCCCGATTTTTTTGGAACATGGTGCCTCAGAAAATTCTCCTCACCCCTTACCAACCGCTTCATCAATTCTCGCCGAGCGTCACGCTGGGCTCAAGAGATACCGACACAGCGCTCCGGAGGAGCCTTAGGCCATGAAATTGATGGTTTCCCACCAAAATTCACCATCATTCATGGTGATGATCAAGACTGGGCTGTTTCTACTTGAAAATTGAACATTGTTTGGTTGATATGACGAAGGCTGAAAGCCCATGCTTCACAGTGGATTCCAGATCATCAAAAATAGCCCAGACAGTTTCAACGTTTTGAATGATTTCATCAAGTTCTATCCCAAACAAATATCGGATTCAACAGACGACCAACGATTTCTGTGTGTATTGGCACTCCAAGTTCAAGCTAAGCTGCTGCAAACCTTGTTGCCATTGGATGCAATGCCCACAGGCTGAGATGTTGGAGTTGTACTCGATCACCTGACACACCGAAGCTGGAGACTTGAATGGAAGCATCCCTTTGACTTTGCTGTGGAGGTTTCCCACGTGTGGAAAGTGCCGTTGAATCAGCCATTCCGTCTTCTTAATTGCTACATGGACCATTTTGCACTATTTCAATCCACATCTTTGTTGCTCCGATCCACTATTCATGGTGAAATTCCACCATATTCTTGATTGAAAATCCAGATTTCTTCATTTTTGCTTTTAAGATCCAATTTCCATCCTCAAAATTATGGATGAAAACAAGACACCCATAGCTCAACTGCAAATTTTGCCCCAGGCACATCTGCATGCAGCGGTAAGGTGGGAAGCTCCTGTAGAAGATCCAAGCCCTGACGTCACTGTGGGAAGAAGGGGGCGGATCAAAACCTATGACGTTCCTACAATTCTGGAGGTGTTTTCCCATATTCCAACTATGATTTGTAACTATGATGGTGATCATAGGAACATCCAACATATTCCAACATATTCCAACTATTTTTTTTGGATTCACCAGAATACCATGGCTTTTGACAGGTACCCAATGTACATGGAAACGCAACAGTCCCACCAGCACGGGGAACCGCCACCTGCATCCAAGCCCCCGCTTTTTCGCAGTTGGCCATGGCCTGGGAAGCGTGACACCACCGTTGTAGCGGGATTTTTATTGTGGATGTCATTCTGACCCACTTTCATACTGATAATATTGCTGAACCATTCCCACGTTATTACTTATTCACCCAATGTTTGCTGGTCATATTCTCCATGTTTACCATGTCCCCAGCCCCGGTCTCCCTTTGGCCCTGCAACCAAACGGCGATGTTGAACACGACCACATCCCTCCGGAGGCCCAGCTGATTGTCGGCCTCTTGCAGCAACCTGAAACCAGGGATTTCTGTGATAGACATGTCATAGAAAGGGAACCATGATCTATCCGAATCTATCCTCTGGTAAACTGTGGAAAGGAAACTTCGACAGTTCAATTCACAGCTACTTTTCTAACCACGAAATTTGAGATTGCCCCTTGCGACCATCCCATCTCTTGCCTCAACGCGAACGGCAAACTGCAGCCCTCAAGGGCTGCACCAACCATCATCAGATTGGGCTCAAGTCCTAGGTTTGCCCAGAAAATATCCGTTTGGGGTGGTGTGGTACGTTGGCTACCCATGAAAACTGTGGCGGAAAACACACACGATTTTAAACTGCCAACCAGGCAATTGTTGGTTTTTTAGGGCTATTTTGTAGATTAAATCTACCCGAAGTCCCCATTCAGCCACCACCACAATCACCATAATCCTTTTACAATTGAGGGTATCGAAACCCTCTGTCAACTCATTTCGCCTCATATTATGTCCATCAATGGTTGGTTTTATAGGTGTAAATCCCTTGAACTCCCATTAACCCGATATTCGAAAGCTTTGCTGCTCAGATTTCCCACCAGTATCATATTCCATTGTAGTCACCATTATACTTCCCATTAAACCCCCAATATTTCCCCAGTCATACCCCAAGGATCCCATTAAACTATAAATCATGGATATTCCCACCAAGTACCATTATCATAATCCATTGTCCTCCGATAAAACTATCCTAAACCATTATGGGATATGGCCCACAATGGGTTAGGGGGCCAATATCCATATTTTAAGGCCCCTAAACCATTGATTTCCCCATCCTCCAAGGCTTCCAAGGCTTCCAAGGCACCAAACTTCGCCACCTCCTCCAGTAGCCGCAGCGCCAAAGGCCACGGCATCTTTGCCACCGCTGCGCCCAACCCGGCAGGGCCCACGGCAAGGTCCGGCGCCTGCCATGGTGATTCAGCCCAGCCAAGACGTGGATTTAAGCTAACCAAACATGATCAAACATCATGTGTATTTGGCAAGAAAGACACCAGTAATTTTGAATACTACATGATTCTCCCAGAAGGATATTCAACAGGTCCTGAGATCATCATATCATATCAAACTTTTTCGGGGCTCATAAAAACAAACGCGTTGCATTTGGGGTTCTGAGCATTTCGTAACTCTTGAACTCTGAGCACTGGAAAATTACGATTATCGCGGGATGTCTGAAAGTGGCTGTGGTGATGTTAGAAAACATTGTGAGAGAGAGCACCTATGGAGTCGGATTTGCAACCACGAATGTCCAGAATGCAAGTTCGGGTTCCCACCTCTGCAACACCACCAGCCACAATATGTTATAGGTTGATTTATACCTACCATAAATCCAACACTTATTTTGACTTATGAACAACCTATTTTGCTGGATATATCCCACTATCTCCATTTATATCTCCATATTTTTGTGGCTTAAAACCACATTTTCCCCCCATTGACATCGGAAGCTGCACCTCCAACAAGACCAAGCATCTCTGCCAGGCCGGCGATGCTGCGATGAGGGCGTTCAAACTACTGCTTTTCGGTTGCCTCAGTGATCATCAGCGTGGTGGGGGATACCGGGATAAGCAAAAAATGGCAATCTTCACAAGGGGAAAAAGGTGGAAACACGTTGGATTTGTAGATCTTTATCAATGTACCTGGCAAAAAAATAATGACATCGTGACCTTTACATACATGGAAACAAAAACATGATATCTAACTCCAGAAGATATACATCTTTCATTTGGGTAGCCTATCGTAAACGTCAACAAAAAGACGCGGAAAACCCCATGGGTTTCTTTCGGAAAACCATCTGCCAGGTGGCAGGGCCAGGCGTTTCATCTCCTGCAGCTGTAGGGTGGCTCTGCGCCAAGCGCCGGCAGAGATGGCGGCGTTGAAACTGACCACGCTGCGTTGCACGGACTGCCCTGGAACCAGGGGTGGCCATTATGTTTTTGCGATGTTCTGCATGGATTCAGATGCATGGATTCTAGATCCCAAGCTGAGTTTATGGTAAACCAAATGTCTGCCATTTGGGAATGATCAGCCGCTGTAGAATCACTCTTGCAGGACAAAAGACGTTGTATCCACTGATTTTTCCACACCATTGAACCATAAATAGTTCCCCTCAAAACCATAAAACCTCTTCATATCACCATGATAGATCTCCAAGTACATTTGGTTGCATTGGCAATCATGATGGTAATATATATATATATACATGCACATATATCCATATCATCTTCAATATTCCCATAAAATGGCTGGTCGCTCTTCTACTCCATAAACCCAGCATTTTTCTGGTTCTATTCCCACTAAAACCACACCTCAGCGGGTCACCTCCCACCTGCTGTGCGCATCAGTTCGCAGGCAACCCGCCAGCGATGAGATGCCTTGGAGCGTGCGTGAAACATGGGGGGAAACTCAGATGGACCTTGAGATCTTCAGCGACTTTTTGGGAAAATGTATGTATGTAATGTATGCTATATATATATATATGTATATATATATGTATGCTATGTTATGCTATGGAATGTAATCTGATGTGATGTGATGTAACGTATGTGTATACATGTATATAAAGATTCACATGTGATGGATTGCTCATATCTACGACCTTTTTTGGTAGTATGTGATGTAAAAAATCGATACATGGAATGCGGGAAGAAATGGGGTGAGCCCTTCCAAATATTAGGAATTTTCCTGGGAAGATGACTGCCCCGACTTCCGGCCATGTTGCAGCGATGGTGGCGTTGAATGATGCCACCTTGTTCCGTTGAAAAAACAGGGAGGGCGTTGGTGGTTCTATGATGGCGCTGACGTGGACTTGTCAAATTCCAGCTTCGAATCATGGATAAGGACATATCCCTCCACGCCGACAATGGTAACCCTCTCAGGTATACAGCAATCCTATACAAGTGAGGGGAAAATTAACTGTACTCGCACAATGCACATAGTGTAAAGGCAAAGGGCAAACATACAGCCTGACGCGCAGTTCATCGATGTCTGTAGCTTTTGAGTTTGTGTTCTACCGGCAATCATCAATTTATTTGGGATGGATCCCAGTTTCTGAGGAGACTTTGGGCCATGGCAAGATGAATTTAGGTCAAGATTCCAAGACTCGGGTGATTTGGTATCGCAGTGGAACATCACCATCTGGGATTTCCGTTTACCGGTAATTCCAATCTTGACCCGTCAGAGGTGATTCATCCATTCCTAACATGGGGATGCAACGGCCAACCTGTACCCCATCCACCCTTGGATTCAACTCGGAGGGACCAAACAGTTTAAAAACAGCTCGGAGTTCCTCATTTTACAGTGTCCATTTAGTCAATGAACGAACCTCAGCTTGGTTAATTCATATCCCATTTTTCCTGATTACGTCCTTATCTTGGTTGGTTAAGCCTTCAAGTTTCGTTGCCTGACTTTGGCTCAGAGATCCCATGTTTGGTGAACCCTCCATGGTCGATGCTCATCCGATTTTTTGGGTAGTTCAACTTTCAGTTTTTGTGGGTCAAAAGCAGGATTTTTTTTGGGTGAACACCTCCCAGGTCCCATCCATCCCCATCCCCCAGTCGATCTGCCGTGCCTCGGGCGTGGTGCGTTCCTCCGGCAGGCTGCGCAGCAACGACAGCGCTGTGCGCCAGGGGGAGCCGCGGAGCTGCTGGGGGAGGTCGCCTGGAAACCCAGAAATGATGGGAAAATCGATGGGAAAAATTGATGGTATCCTGCAAATGACGGGAAAATCAATGGGAAAAGCCATGGTTTGATGCGGTTTATGATTCATGATGGTTTCCTGCAGGTTCTCAACCATCCCATTGAGAGAAAAAATGTGAGCTATGGGGATCTTTCAGGAGCGACGATTCGCATGACTGGCCATTTTGAACAAAAATGGGGGAATTTTGCCATCCAAACAGAACATATCCAGATTTTTGTTGGCTTAAAACCATCCTAAAACCTGCTTGTTTGATGGTGAACCGGTCCATTTCTGACCAGGAAAAAGCGAGAAAAATGTGGGGCACCACCCTGCAACCCTGGCATCGACCTGGAGGGGGTCCATGCCAATTCTGAAGCACTGCGCAGCACATGGCGCGCAGCACAGCGGCTTTGAGCACTTGCGGTTGAGGATGGTGGAAGGGGTCAACCCATCGAAAGGTCATAGGGGACCACCATATTCCATTGGTTGGGATAAAAATCACCAATGCTGATGGATATATCTTTGTGCTTGCTGGTAGAGCTACTCATTCCTCCAAAAAAAATGGAGACTCGTATCTGTCAAAGGTAGAGGATGGAAAGTCTTGTAGAATGTTTAAAGCAACATCAGCATGTTCCGATGTTACGTTTTGTGAGCGGGGTAATGGGCAAAAACTATGGTTACAACCCCCCAAAGGTTGGGATATAACCTGCATATCTAGGTATACAGTAACTTGAACACTTAATCATGAACATCCCTATGATCATCCCATTATTCTCCCAATTCAACCATATGATAATGGATATATCACCCATACCCTCTAGTAAAATAACGTATTAATGGAAAATCCCTATTTTTCATACGTAAATTAACGATTTCTATATCAGTGTTATAAATCCCCATTAAAAACCCAGTTAAATCAGCATAGCAAACAGTTAAATCCCATTAAATGGAGCATATGATCATGGATACATCACCTATATCCACAATATTGTTTTCGCCAAAGCCGCTCCTGGCGCTGCAACTTGGCCAATGCCCAGGCGGTGGTGGCTACCTCCCAAGGGTTCAACGTGGAGAGCCACGGTCACAGCTGCTGCAACGTGGCGTCGAGGGAGCCGGAGCTGCCTCAAAATGGGCAAAATGTCATGGAAATCCATGGAAAACCAAAGAATTTATGGTTGGGATATCATGGAATATGATGGGGGTTTGCTAATTCCCACCCAAAAAACAAAGTGTTTGGTATTACTTTGGGATATTTTTGTGGGAAAGATGGGCAGATTTGGGAGATTTTGTGGGGCATATACCCAGCAATATGATGATTTGGTAATTGGGTTTGGTTTGAACACGGGGTATATATCTCCCCAAAAAAAGGTTTGGAATACGGAAAATGCTGAGCTTCGTTCAGTTCATCTTAGGGGTTCCAGGACGTCTGCGGAAGGGAAACTGACTATAGACCGATAGACCATTGGAATTTGGGGTGCGCTATTTTCAGACAAACCCATGAAACTCTTTGGGACACTCAAATTTTGGAGAGGATTTCATGTCACTCTTTGGCGATTTGGGGAATCTCTTATAAGGAATTCTGCAACATGGTAGTGGATTGGTTGGAGGACAACTTAACTTTTTCAGAAACGTCTAAGAATTTGGAAAAAGATTAGTGCAGAAAATTGCTTTTGGGTCACGTAACAGCGGGAAACACGTGGCTGCTTTCAGAATAGGCTTGTACACCCAAAGAAACATGGGGAATTCATTGCAAAGCTTTGATAGCCCTTCACTCATCACCAGAAGTGGTACGTTGACGAACTGTCTAAAAAGGTTCAAAATCCAGGACGTTTAGTCTGAAAAATCGAGAACCATCTGGCTCTGAACAATTTTTAACCATGTCCCATCCTAATTCCCCCCAAGACAACTTCTCATATATATATATGTATTTATACCCATTTTTCTCATCGAACAAATTCCTGACCGGTGTTCCAATCGACCAATTACCATTAGCAATCATTAGTTTCCCAATCCAAAGAAAAACACTGATCATCAAAGCTTCCCATCAAAATAACCATAACCATTTTGCCATCCAGACTCACGAGAAAAAACAGCTAAATCATCATTGTTGCCATCCAAATCATCCGACAAAATGGATACATCCATAAAAATCAATGAAACAACAAAACTTATCCTCACTTTTCCCACCCAAAATCACCAGAGCAAATGGAGTAAATCCCAAGCCTTTTTTTTGGGACCAACCCATCAGTGAAAACGCCTCGCCCCACAGCCATCCTCAGCTGCTCCACCAACGCTTCCGCCTGGGACCTGTCAAAAAATGGCGTATAGAAACCCTCAAAGAGGTGGGAAAAAGAAAGACACGACATATTTCTTCTTACTTTTTTGTGGATATTGAAACTCTTCTACATCGTGTTGGAGACTAGAGCCACTTTTTTTTGATTCAGAGAACATCAAGTGTGGTTCCAGTGCATCTCCATGGTATGAGGCGATCCAAATCCTTTGAGTTGGGGCACAAAGGTGTTGGAAGAGGCATCCCTTTCCTAATCGACAGCACTGTAGATCTATCAGCTACATTAACTACTATCCTTCTGCAACCTTCCGTATGTCCGCGAGAAACATAGGTATAAGATGATACAAGACCCCGGCGATGGAACTGCTCAAACTCATTTTTTTGATGGCCACAATCTATTCGAAGTAAAAACCATCAATCCAATGAGAAAATACCGTGACCTGACACGTATTAGGGTTTTTCAATGAAGTACCCCAAGCTTATTCCAAGGAAATGATCGATAACTCACGGACAATCAGGTCATTTTGGGATGATTTCCTCAATCTTTGCTACACTGAGGCCAGCCAGTGAGTTTGCTATACTCTATATAGATTACATCACATCTCCGCAATGGATGGCAGTATAGCCACATGATAACCCCAATTTGAAGCATAGTTATTGCCCATCCCCCAACACTTTTTGGGTCCACCAGACCTGGGTCTAGCACGGGCACGCCATGCAGCCATGGCAATGGCGGTACCTGGTGGGATGAATCACCAGGAAACTGGGATGTGAAGCGAAAATGGTGGGATCAACCAAGATGGCTGCTTGAGTGCTTTATCAAAAATAAAGACAGGTGTGTTTGAACACAATTAGATGCTATAGTTTTTTAAAATCACAATAAGATGGAGATGTAGCTCAGCAACAAAAGAGCGATTTTAGCATCATCGACTTGGCGAAGATGTCTAGTCACTTAGCTATGCATCTGGGCCATCCTACGCTTGCAGTCTTTGGGGTTTATTGTTGCCAACCTCAGGTATAACTAGCTTCTATGATCTTCTATGGGTGTTTCCTAAAGGAAAAACAGCTCAAACCATGAGGCTTCACCATTAAGCAATGACAAATCACTTGGATGAGAACTTGGGGTCCCTTGGGAAACACCCACACTATGGTCATAAACCACTGATTCCTGGAGGATGGTCCCATGCGTAACTGACGAATAAGCCTCAAGAAGTCTAAGTTCCTGGGCTATCCTCTTTATGAGTTGAGCACCATAAAACCGTAGCAATCATCATTATTGTTGCTATCATAGGTCATAAAAAACCAACAATAATTGCTATTTTTCTAGGGTAAGATCCCCATGAAATCCTGGTTTCCTACCTTCTTTCGCTCACTTCGGAGGCTTGCGCCCGCTCCCCGGTGCCTCCATGCCGAAGGGCCCAGTTGGATGAACCCGAAGGACCTGGCGCATGTGGGGTTGAAAGGCACCAAAATGGGGAATTTGGTATGAGGAAAACTCAGGATTTAAGCACACAATGGGGGATTTAAATGGATTTAAGCCACGAACATGCAGAGTTTCACCGAATTTAGGATTTCAATGCATCAAAGATAGGGATTTTTGCAACACAAATTTGGAGATGATTTCCTCATATTGAACGGTCGACTGGGTCATTCACAACCTCATGAATAATCTTGATAAGGGCTCAACAGGCTAGATAGGTCCACGATGTACAAATCTGTCATTCCCTTCAGTCACTCGTTCTGGTCATGAAATGCATAGACTCTTTCTTGTGTTTTTGCACATAGTAGGTTCTGTTTTGAAAGAGGGGAGCCATAGGAATATCAATCAAACTACGCAATCTTTCTGCTCGACTTCAGCAAAGTTTGAGACCAACTTGTGGTGTTTACAGTCAATTGCTGTTTTCTGTTTGGTTTTGGTTCAAAACCAGGGTACCAACAGGTCCCAGAGATCTGGCAATTTTCATGATTGCTCGGAGAATTTCAATTCAGTAAGGGTAAATCCTTTTGGACCATGGCCAGATCAACATCCACTTCGATACTCAACATCTTTGTTGCTGAAATCTCCTTGTCAATTGCTGAAATCCCAAAAATTGTTGGTGAATTGGTGAATGGTACAGCCTTCTCATTTACATTGGATAAATATCAATTTTAGACACTTGCAGTTTGTAAAATTCTCATCTCCACAGTGGGTTTGCCTGAAAATACAGCCCTAAATCCCCATGGTTTACCTTCATTCTCCCCATTAACATAGCCATTTTTGGTCATTTTCCTCATTTCCAAAAGCCACACAGCTCACCTTGCCGCGTCTCCGTGTGCGGCACGCAGGGCCGATGCGAGGGAACGAGGAAGGGGGCGGCGAACATGGCCAGGGGGTGGTTTTGGGCGGAATCCTCTGAGAAATGGTGGATTTGATGGATTTTACCCAGAATACGGACTGACAGTTATCAGTATGATGGTATGTTTGAATCATCAGTCTATCTTCATCTATGGTAGTTGAAATATCTTTCCGCCTGTAAGTATTGATTCATGATCAAATGGGGAACCGTCTATAAGCATATGATATCCCCGGTAAGGAATATCATCAGTCTACGAGTATGATTGGTAAAACCCTTGATTTATGTGTTGGGTACCAGTTGGAGTAGTAAATTATCACGTGTCTCATTCTATACTCCCTGAAAGACCAACATCCAAGTTTGATGATTTAAATCAGACAATATCATCGTTTGATGGTAAATTCAGTTGGGCCTGTGGGTGATTGCAGCTTTCTTCACTTCCGGGGCTGCCATTAACGTTGAATCATCTATCATGCCCTGAGCCCAAACCAATTGCGGAATGACATGAGAAACAGCTTGGCTTTTCCAAAGAGATCAGCACCTTTATAAAAGGCGTGCGCCAAACATGATCACGACTTCAAAATTTTTCAGAGTTGGATTCCCCATCCGCAAAACTCATTGCTTCAAATTCTTGTAGACTTGGATTTCTCTCAAAAAAAGGCCCCAATACCCTCCAGTACTCAAATGTGACTGGGAAATCCCCGAACTAAATGGAGGTTTATAGCTGGGAAAATCATTGAACTAAATGGGGGATGTTCCAGCACGCAATCTTTTGATGACTGGAGGGTATTACTGCTATTAATGGGACATTTAATGGAAATCAATGGTTATTTTCCATGGCGCTACAGCTGTGCCAGTGAACGTTGGGAATTCACCAGCCACACATGGGACTCACACTTTTCTTATAATGCTTGAATGGAAGTATATATATATATCCCATCAACTATCCACCTAAAAGCATCAGAATCCAACATTTTTGTAAGGTAAAAACCCCATGAAAGCCTGGGTTTTCGACCCCAAAACGCCGCAGCACCTGGAGTTGATGATGTAAGGCCACCTCCTGCAACTGTTTCAGCCCGTAGCCGCCCCTGCCATGGGGACAAACACCTAACAGCTGGTTTGAAGCCAGCAAAATATATGTAGAACATGGGGATTTTCCCTAAAATTAGTTATGTATATGTATGTCTACATATATATACATATATCTATACACTATGTTGTTTGTCCATCTATAAATGTCTATAAGAATAAATTCATCCATCATATAGTGATTCGTGGGATGCGTTTATGAATGTTGCAGCGATATGACGGGACACAAGGAGAAAATTTCATGGCGATACATGTAACCAACAATATAATATGGGGACTTGCTTGTCATAAAAATATCCAACACTTAGTGAATATCATTGTCTGTCTATATTTGGTATTTGGCCAGTTCAAACGAGGGATTCAACCGTCTAGACTTGGACCAAATATGGACAATGACTTGGGTATAGATAGCTTGCAAATATGGGGATTTAAGCTAGAACAATTGTAATTGTCTTGATTTAATGGGGGTTGATACCGAGATTGCTTATGGGCATGGTATCAACCAAAATGGTGTGGGACCAACCATTTGCTGGCCATCTACTGAGAAAACAGGAAACATCACATAGCCAACAATAGGAAAAACGGGTTTGTTCAGAAATGAGGCATATCACGATTTATGGACCTCACAAAAGTGGGAAACTGATGTACTAAACCACTGGTTTTGCTTACCCTATTCGTGGACAAACCATTTTTGAATCCTCATACCATTCTTAGAGAATGGAAAGCAACACGTAGGTTTGAAATCACCAAGTGGGGAACACATTTTCTCGATTCAAATTGAAACTATTGTTCATAAACTTCCCACATCTTATTTTGAAGTTACCAGGGTGTCTGCAATCCTTCTCTACTTTGTCCAACCCCATGGTACCACCATGTTTGCAAATTTCTACCCCACAGTCTTGGTGATCAAATCCCAACTTCTCTTGGCTTTTAGTGGCCAAAATTCGAATTCCCCTCCCCACCTTCAGATCCATTGTCAGCTACAGCAGCCGTGCCGCCTTTGCGAAGTCGTTTTGGGTCCAGCTGCAGTTCTTTGACACCAACTGGCACCAACATCTGCATCGGATTGATCGACTTTGGATTTTCCCATCCGTTCGCAGGGACTCGTCCATGGCCCGAAAGACTTTTTTCGACGGCCGTCCACAGCTTCAGCGCTGAATCATCCGCGGTGCAAAGCATGGCGGATTCTCCTCCTTGGCCGCTTTGCGACAAAGTGCTCCGGATGCCGTGCTTGAATGTGGCTGGTGGTCTGATCAGCAGACATGTCGATTCGTCGTCTTGTAGTCATGTCTAATGCGACATTCATAAATTTCTAGCTTGGTGGTTTTGGTCCCACGAAAATGCAATGGATTATCATCCTATTGTTTGATGGGACATTGAAATAAAACATTTTAAAACACCACCCTTTTTTTGGTGCCTGGTGGCCATAATCGCCAGTATTGTTGGTGAATACTCCCATTCTTCTTGGAAATTGGGATATGTAAGCATAATCACCCACCAATGAGTTCTTGGTCATCGACACTATTGGTGGTAGTCAAATCCAATCTTCATGGCTTCCCCTGGATGTAGCTGGATCATACATTTGGGTAACAATGAAGTTGTGCTCAAGTACACATCCAGTTGGGTTCGCCGAGTCATTTCATGGTCAATTTCCACAAAAAATACATATTTGCTATTCGCATTCAATGATGGATAAATCCCCATGTATCCCATGATATCCCATGAACCCCGAACTCTATCCCAGCCATGAAATCCTATCCGTCCAGTCAGTTTGATATTCAGTTGTCTGGTACAAGGTCCCGCCCAGTTGTGTTTGTCGCTTTATAACCAACATTTTCTAATTCAATGTATCTCTAAACCATAAACCCAACAGTTCTGTCAGTGATTTCAACCAAGTTAGCTGCACATATTGTTGGTTGTATACCACATATTGTATGCCACATTTCTGGTAAACATCTTCTTCTCTACCCCCATGATTGCTGGTTTAATCCTCATTTTTTCCCCACATCTTTGTGTGGGGTTCTTATTTTTGATTCTGTGTCCCGCCTCCTCCCTTTGTCCCACAACAACTTTGTCACACATCATCTTTCACACACAACTTTGTCACACATAATCTTTCACACACACACACCTTTGTCACACAACAACTTTGTCACACTTCATCTTTGTCACACATCATCTTTCACCCACAACTTTGTCACACATCTTCTTTCACACACAACTTTGTCACACATAATCTTTCACACACACCTTTGTCACACAACAACTTTGTCACACATCATCTTTCGCACACAACTTTGTCACACACCTTCTTTCACATACAACTTTGTCACACATCATCTTTCACTTCGTGACATCCACCTTCGTATTGTGTGGCAAGTGTGGCACTTATGGCATTGGGCTGGCTCTGGTGGCGCGCTTGGGCGCGCTTGGGCGCGCTTGGTCGCTGGTGACGCCGCTCAACTTTGCGTGGCAGGCGTGGCACTTGGCAACATCCACCTTCGTTTTGCCTGGCAGGCTTGGCACTTGGAGACATCCGCCTTCGTGTGGCACTTAGGGCACTGGGCTGGCTCTGGTGGCGTGCTTGGACCGGATTAGTCGCCGGTGACGCCGCGGCACTTTGCTTAGCAGGCGTGGGACTTGGCGACATGTGTCTTCGTTTCACGTGGCAAGCGTAGCACTTGGCAAGCGTAGCACTTAGTGACATATACTTTCGTTTTGCATGGCAGGCGTGGCGCTCAGTGACATATACCTTCGTTTTGCGTGGCAGGCATGGCGCTTGGAGACATCCACCTTCGTTTTGCATGGCAGGAGTCGCACTTGCTCACATCCACTTTCGTTTTGCATGGCTGGTGTGGCAGGAGTCGCACTTACTCACATCCACTTTCGTTTTGCATGGCTGGTGTGGCAGGTGTGGCAGGTGTGGCACTTGGTCACATTCACCTTCGTTTTGCGTGGCAGGCGTGGCGCTTGTCTTATCGTGCTGGTTCTTGGTCGCCACACGCCATCTTTCACACACCATCTTTGTCACACACAACTTTCACACACAATCTTTGTCACACACCATCTTTCACACAGCATCTTTGTCACGCACCATCTTTCGCACACAACTTTGTCACACACACCATCTTTCACACACTATCTTTCACGGTACTCGTATCATGTAATTCTGCTTTGGTCGTTTTGGCCCAAGCAGAAATTGCAAACAACAAACCTGCGTGTTCTAGCATAGTCAGTCCAGTTGAAGTAGCAGTTGCATAGCGCAATCAATCACGCGGTCATCAGATCAACGCGGAAAGAGGCGACCGGAGCAGCTTTTGCAGACGATGGTTCTAGTCTGGTCAGTCCAGTTGCACTAGCACTTGCATAGCGCAATGTTTCAGTTACACGGCCTGTTTAAGTTTGTCATGTTTCGGCATGTTTTATTTTCCGGCATGTTTAGCCATCTTCTTCTCGTAATACAGTAGCTGTGCAGACCTACTATCGAGTGACGCTTCTGCGTGTGGACGCTTGCATTGATATCTTGAAGAACCTGCATACGGAACTCTGGCGCATGAATAATCTTCCTGTGGAACTCCTACACCAATGCACCACTGGAGATGAGGGTCAGCAATGCAACACAGGAGATCCTGGCACACTTCATTCCGGCTGGCCCTGCGAGCACAACTGATTTATATGGGCTTCCATTTTTTTAAATGGGTGCCTTTCTTTTCTTTCTCACAACGAACTAAAAAAATAAATGTCAGTCATGCACCTGTGGTGTTTTTGTGTTGGTATGTTAAAATTGCTGGGTATTGGACACGTCGTGCTGTCCTGATCATTGCTTCAGAAGCAGAGGAGTATGCAGATCCACACACACAAAGACACACACACACACAAAAAAAAACAAGTGCTGCTAGTCGTGGTTTTGTGGTTTCATCCGTTGGCTGCCTTTCCCAAATGCGAGACACAACTAATTGCCCAGTTGCATTTTTTTTTGCACTTTGCCCGTTCCATCGCTTTTTTTTGCAATGTGTCTGTCACATTGCATTTTTTTTTGCACTTTGCCCGTTCCATCCCTTCTTTTTTTAACACTTTGCCGGTCACATCTTTTTTTTTGCACTTTGTCTGTCACATCGCTTTTTTTTTTTTTGCAATTTGGTGGTTGCTTCGTATTTTTTTTTGCAATCCCCTGTCCCAATTGCATTTTTTTTGAACGGGAAGATTGGCGATCCCAGCGTTGCATTTTTTTTGCAAGACGTATCTGCATCATTAGATTGTTGCAATTCCGGTTGCATTTCAGTTTGCACTTTTGCATTTATTTTGTTTTTTTTTGCGTTTTTTTCCTCTATTTTTTTACACTTTGACTGTCAAGTCGCAAAAAAAATGCAACGGGAAAAACACATTGGTTTCCATTGCTTTTTTTTGCGCCAGCGTGCTCGGCGACGTCCCGGGTTGCATTTTTAGGAATCCGGCGTGTGAACCCATCGTTGGAAGCCATTCGCTTTCCCAGCTTTGTGCTTTGCCAAGCTCAGGTGGGGGAGTTTGTGATTGACGATTCTCGCTGGAAGACTCGTGCCAAGCGCGAACGCAGCAGTGTACTTCATATATGTATATATATCAGCACGCCTGGGGTTTCGCACCTGCACGGCCACAACTACAACTACCACAGCAACTATAGGTTCCAAACGCCACTTTGCAAAAAACATCGGCGTACCACCACCAAACCAGCTGCAAAGGACTCAGCTGTAAGTCGTTCCATATCCTAGACGCAACATGAGAAATTTGCCCAAAGTAAGATCTTGAAGAAAGCAGCAACCAGGGCCCCATACAAGTAGATTGTAATTAGTGTGAGAATGCTTTCAGTCAGAATGGAAATGTCCGCAGAAAACTGTTCGGAAGGAGGGAAGTACATGCGTGGATGGCTGAGATGTGTTGCCAGTTGTGTGGCTAGCTTTGTAATTTCCATATTGGTTTTGGCGCTTTGAAAAGTCAATGGCTATTCTTGCGTGCTGGGGAATCTTAATGGTGAGGAAAAACTTTATATCCATTGCCTGGTTCCTTTTTTTCTGGTAGACTCAAAGTTAGGGACGTCAAAACACAAAATAGTTGCATTTAGGGGTTGTATTTTTTCGTATATTTGTTGCATTTTTAATGATTTTCAGAAAGAAAGATTCTACCTGACCGCCTCGACTTCAATTCTAGTTGTTCTTTTGCAGCTGTGAGTTCTTCTGCACATGACGAGGCCTCGGTCACCCAGACCTGCCGTGAATCGATCCGTTTCAATTTTGACCCACCGTGGGAAGAAATCGGATGCCAAGCAGATGACATTGGAGCGCTGGCGCAAAAAAACTCCGCAGTGATGCCGCATGTCAGTGTCTAGCTTGGACTCAGTTCATGTTTTGTGCCGGTTTACATTTTCTTATCCAGCAATGAACTTTTGCCACACACCATCTTTCACACCGCTTTGTCACACACCACCTTTCACTCACAACTTTCACACACACGATCTTTCACACACCATCTTTGACACATACATCATTTTCTTCGTCGCACACCAGCTCTCACATACCACTTTGTCACACACACAACTCTTCACATACAACTTGTTTTACTTCTCCATCCTCCACCACCTCCTTCGTCTTTCCTTCCTTCCCCGTCCCTGCTACAACATTTGTTGCTCATTATTGGAAGAAGTTGACTTGTGGGGTTGTCCGGTCCTTTAATTGTTGATTTATACCGATTTTTCCCATGCTTGTTGGTTAAATCCTAATATCTGCTGATTTCAATCAATGTAACCCTCTATGAATTCACCCATTACAACCCACTTTGCTATGATATTCCTTAGTGTGCCCTGTAAATCCTTCCTATTATACACTGTAATTCCACTATACAAAAGTAAATCCACTATAAATCCACTATTGTCCACTATAAATCCGCTTTCAACCGGTCCCAGTTCTGGTGATTTTCCTCCCCACCAGCCACCAGCCACCGGCCACGGCGCACCAGTCGCGGGGTAGTGGAAGATCTGCCAATTGCTCCAGCAGCGGCAAAGGCAACGCCTTCCGAGAAGGACCGGTGTCCCCGGTGCGAAAGGAAAAAAGCTATGGGAATTAGCCGAATCTCATGGGAAAATCATGGGATGTACAATGGTTCAATGGGAGTTGTCTCCAATCTTCTTTCTTTTCTAAAGGATTTAACCACGAAAAACGGGGATCCTAAGCAAGTTATTTTTTAAGCAACAAAATATGGGGCTCATGGGATATAAGCAGCAAAAAGTTGGGAATATCATGGAGATCCAATGCGATTTAATGGGATATCCTTGAGATAGTGAGCTAAGGGGAAAACAACATGAAATAAGGGCCTCAAAACCATAGCTTTAGCCATCCAAAGTTTGCTATTGATCAACAGGCATTGGGATTTATTTCTGGAATTTACAGTGGGTACGCTAGTTTATAACTATTGTCATAGCTGTTGGATTTCTGCTGGATACATCGAAGAAATTGGAAGGGGCTTTCACATGATTTAACCAACACAAAGACGGGGTAACCGCGAAAATTTGGGGTTCAACAGATTGGGGAAGGTCCAATTTTCAACCACACATTTTAATCCAATCTGAACATAAACTGAACCGTGGCAAATATGCTGGGGGATTCGAAGCCAATTAGGGTTGGGCAAGGTAATTATGATGTTGAGTCCATCTATATCATTCAATAGAGTCGATTCATAATACTGTGCCCAACCCTAGCCATCCGAGAATCTATCCACTATACTACTATACTCTTTTTTTGGTACAATGTTCACAATTATTTACCAGTCAAAAAAGTGTACGATATGGTATGGTATGGTGCGGTTTCGGTGATGGTTTAGTATGGGTGGGTCTGAAAGAATCTTCTATGGGCATCGACAATAGGATATCATTGAAAATTGCCCACCAGGAACAAACTTGCCATTGTTTATATCTCGATTCTAACCAGTGCCAACCTTAGATACCCTGCAAACAAACTTAACTTCAAGTTGGGTCAATATTTTACCATTAATGTTGGTAAAACAATAGACAATAAATCATGCCCAATTTCACCACTTTTTGTAGGTGGTATGCTTACCATATGGTACCATTCCCTGTCATGGGTGGTTTATGACATTGTTTTACCCCGATGAATTGGGTATAAACTTTTAAAAAAAAACATCCAAATGGCAAACACATCTCCAAAGGCTTAGCTCGGCGGCACCTCATCCAACACCGCCAGAGCCCAAGCGAGGCGCAGCAAGGATCCTATGGCTCTGGTGATCATGGGAAGAACTGACAGGATTTCTAACAAAAATGGGAATTATAATGGTTGAATGGGACTTCTCCCTATGATTGCTTTATATAATGGGGATAGAATGGGGATTATGATTACAATAGCTGGTAGCTTAAAGGGGATTCTAGGGGATTTAAACTACGAACATGATATCAGACGAAACACACAACGAGTTCACCACCTTCTGTGGCTTCGGAAACATGTATGTGGATCGATTGGTGTTCACAAAGATCTTGGAGCTGAGCTCCATCCTCTCGGATGTTGGCAAGAAGGCGTCACAGAATGAGAGTTCTCCATTTGGCCCTGGGGGCTCAATCTGGAATCCGAACTCTTTCTGCCACACCATTCCTCTGAGAACGCAAGCAGCGACGGGAAAAGGTTGACAATCCACTTCTTACTGCCTGTGCTCCGTCATCTCCTTCACCCACAGGGTTTCAAAGCACTCCTTGTGAATCTCCTCGGCCTGGCCCACAGTCATCGAAGCAGCCTTGCATGCTGGCGTGTTTGCCTTCTTCCACAATTTCCATCAAGACCTTCATGATGAATTTCTCTGTCTTACCGCATTTCTCAAGGACCAAAGACATGTTTGCAATGAACATGCAAAAGTTGATCAAGAAATTCAAGACACTTGTCTCTTGGTCACCAGACTCTCTTTTGTCCAAACATGAGATGTTTGGCCTAAAACCAACCATTATGTGGTAGTATAAGGGTAGAATATCACTGGTTGGTGGTTTTAACCATCTTGAAGAATATGAGTTCGTCAGTTGGGCTTACTATTCCCAATATATGGAAAAATCATCCAAATGTTCCAAACCACCAACCAGATCATGGGATATATTTCCAACACTATGATCAAACTGGGTGTGTCTTCACGCCTGGCTCCACTGGGTTCACCTTCACGGCGAGGGCCAGAGGCTCATCGTCTTGCAACGCCTGGAAATTGGGATTGGAATGGGAATACTATGGAAATTGACATTTTTCGTGGAGTCAAAATGTGATAGTTGTGTGTCCTGAAATGGCACCAATCCATTTTAATTGGGAAAATGATTTGATAAACCACAGGGTTTGTCTTTTTTCCCCCTAAATTTTCAGACCAATGCAAGACCAAACTCTACAACTAGCTCAACAAGGTTTGGTTGTCTGGGTTTATTTTGTGGTTTTGTTGATCTACAGAAATGGGCATGAAATGAACAAAGATCGGCATCTGGCTGCGATACAGAAGGATAAATCAACGAACAGGGTTAAGAAGCAACAAAAAAGGCAAAACCGCAATCGAGATCGAAGAAATACTGATACCAATTGAAAAGATGTTGACCACAAGAGGTATGTGGATACAACTGAGAAAACCTTTCACTGATAGAAATTGTGCATGAATCAAGAACGATGGAGATAATCACCATGAGAAAACATAAAAAAGAGTTTTGCAACCCGAACAAAGGGAAGTCATGAGAACCATGAAAAGGAACTAGCAATGATTGGAATCTTGGAGTACCTCCCCCGCAGCATGGCAACAAACGCATGTGCACCCAATCCTTGGCAGCAACTTGCGCTGGTGTCTGGAGACTATCGCAGATTGATACATACTTGACATACCTCGCGAATTCGATCCATCTTGTGCATGTAGTCAGCATGACCTATTCAACCTATAGAATAGTACATGTAAAGAATTTCGAAGACAACATGCAAATTACCGAAATGCATCTGTGTATATAAAAATACATGCGTTTGTTGCCAAATGGAGGAGATCCCCAAATTGGCATGAAACGGCCTTTCCATTTACATTATGTTCAAGTTATGATAAAAACCACCGTCATTTTCTGGAACATCCCACCATTTACACCAACCCATCCTGTGGAATCTCCACGCCATACAACGCGTGCAGCACTTTCCAGGCAAAACGCCGATTCCACTCGATCCTTCAGGCAGAACGCCAAAGAAACAGCAGGTTGAAGAAAGATGACTATGGGGGGGCTGTTGCATCAATAGTTTGATAGATAATGGACATATAGTTGATGATGTTTGATTCAATGGATTGGGTTTGTTGGGAAAATTGAAGCCGGAACACCCCATATTTACCAGGAAAATCGATGGTTTCCGGTTAAGTTTTTTTTCCCCGGAAATATGGGGATGTCACTTGAAAAACAATTGGGGATCAATATGGGGATATCATCCCAATTTGTGAGCTATAGGGATATAACCAAGAGAATCAAACATCTAATATGGGTGAAAATGGGGTATCATCACCAAATAGCTACTTTCATGGCGAATATGACCATCAAGCAGTGGATTTTGGGGTTCCCGATTTAGATGGAAAACTCATCAATTCCTCCTAAAAAATGAAGATCTTGGTGACGTGTGGGGCCATTTATGGCATTTGGGACAATCTTAGTGAAATTTCCCAACTTGAGCTTAAATCCAGTTGAATCTCTCACGATAAAAATATCCGCATTCTGATGGTTCAATCCCAAATTAGATTGACACTATAGTGGGATCATTGAGTGTTATTGGCTACTATTCATTGCTACTGGGTCCTCGAAATAGTGATACTTCCAACTATAGATTCATGGCTCTCCGCACTTTGACATCACCCTTCCAGATTTTCAAACTGCCCCATATTCAATGATATACATCCTAATTTGTGGTGATTTCAATCACTTTCTGCAGTTTGAAGTCGTATATGTCTTCAGGTTTGGACTTGACCATAAATCCTGTTGTTCGTGAGATTTTATCCCACTATATCCCTATAAAGGATAAAGGTTGATTTTATGTCGCATTATATCTTATTTTATGCTATAAAATCAATAAACATGCTAAATCCATCATTTTGGCTGTTTCAACTAACCAATTTTGCAGGTCAACCATGGTAAACCCTCATAAAATTGCCAGGATACCATTCTACACTACAAACTTTCACCATTTTTCTAGAGTTAGCCACTACAAAACCATCATTTTTCCAAGGTTAGCTCCGATTTAACCACTTTAACCACTACAGAACCAGCGTTTTTCCGGGGGGAACCTGCCGTTGTTTTTGGCCCAGTCGCTGCCAGCTCTGCTGCGCCAAGGTGAAGCACAGGTCGCAGGCGGTGTCCAGCGACAGCGTCGGCAGCTGGGGGCTGTATGTCAGCCTGGAAGGTCGAAGAACATATATGATAAATGGATATTTATATGGACATATATATATAGATATAAGATAAATGGATATAAACTATGTGGAAAGACCCAAGAATCCATTTCCAGAGACCCCAGATCAATTGCAAAACCTTTTATATGGATATGTATGTATGTATATACATATGGTCTATCACATTATCAATTTATCACATTTTGTATTTATCTATTTTGAAACTGATGGGTAAAACATATTTTTGTAGATTATTATATGGATACGGAAAATATGGATTATTGTGTCGATATATGGATGATTATATGGATATTTCACATTTTTGTACCTAGTTTTTGATTTAACATATCTCACATATTTTTTCTTTCACACATGTATAATGATGTACATGCAAACATTTACAAATACATTCGAAAAAATCCGCGGCTAGGGATTCCTGGAAGGCGATTGGTCCCTTTTGTTGCTTGGTATATAGTACATTGGTAGATATGGGTACAATACCCTTGCACCTGCAAATTGGAAGTTATGACCCACTGCAGGAATTGGTATGGTATGCCAGTGGATTCCCCAGTGGTGGATTAACCAGTGGGAAAATTACACATCTTCAGCAAATTGATGGTCGATGTGTCGAACTGCAACCCATCCAATCTCCAAGTCGGTTTATAACTAGGATACCTCTTGGATTTGTGTCACCCCATAAGGCAGTTGGATGGGTGAACTTCAACCAATTGAACTCTGAGTCGAACATCTTGCTGGACATGATCTAATTTGCAAAAAATGGGACAAACAAACAACTAGAAAGATGTGATTTCCGAAAAACAAAACAGGGGCACATCTTGCGAATTTCATCGAATGGGGAGATCGCAACCACAACAAATTGGGATGCTCCGCCCTACTCCGCCTTTCCAAAAACTCTTGGGTCAAGGGCTCCTCATAACCCAGGCGGGCCTTTGCGATGTGATGTTCGTTGTGGGTAGAACTGCTATACCTTAACATGCCTTAACTATGAGTGCCATTCTGAAAATTCACATCACAATGGTTTACCGAAAGATCTAAGAGATTTCTGCCCAAATCTGACATGAACAGAAATTAGGGAGCTGATCAGTGGCGGAATATGGCTAGCTTCAGCAGATTTGGATGCTGGCAGTTCAAACAATATGATTGTAGTAATACAGCGAATCAGGGTTTTCCCATTTTGATATCTCTCAAGAATTGGCAAGCCCTAAACTCTGTGGTTTAGCATCATTTTCCCACTTGAACTGGTAATTTCGGATCTCCCATTTTGGAAACCATACATTGTTCTAGCAGATACCCCAATTTCAAAGACAATTCACGCACTTGAGCTGGAGCAGTTCACTTGTGGAAATGGGGAATTATTGGATGCAAGATTAAAAACAGATTTCTAGTGGTTCTAAAAATGATGATGTCACCACTAAGGCTGGAAACCATGGCCTGCAAGAATGTGAGCCACGTGATTGAAACCACTAGCTTGCTGCAAGAGCAGCATGAGATAGGAACAACCCCGACACAGCAAACCTATTGATCAAGGGGGGAATCATGCAACAATCCATTCGTAATTCCAGTTACAATTCAGTTATATGGGTTTGTCAACAAATGGCACTTGAAACATTGTTGAAAACATGATTTTTTACACCATGGGATTTGGATGTGTTTTCTTTTCCAACACAAAATAAGTGAAGCCCAAATATTGTTGTTGGTTATACATCGTATTTTTTTTAGCTCTGTCGTGGTTTGTTTTGCACCCTTTTTTCACATCACTAGTGTATCCCAATACCGACATATCATGGGATGTTTGATATTGGACATCAAGATCATTCTGAATCATATCGTAAAAATGATAACATAGTGTATCCCAATTCTGAATCACTAGTGATATCCTGATGTCACTAGTGATATAGCTAGCATGTTATATCGGACATCATTGGATATTTGATATTGTGATTTTCGTAATCCCCCAACGGATAGAAAAGTAAATCCTCATTGATAGTCGGCGAAGCCGTTCACTTTCCCGTCTGTGCGGATTACTATAGGTATACACCATGAACATGTGTACACAATTAACAGTTATACACCCTGATGTTCCCATTATATTCAATATTATAGCCCCATTATGTTCCCACTAGATTCTCATTGTACATCCATATCCCCAAACCCATCTGAACCTCCCATTTCTGCTCATTGTTCCATGTCCAAGGTGCAATGGCCTTTGCAATCACCACCTGGGCCTGTTTGACGGCGGCTCCGTTGAATGGCGGTGTTGGAGAACTTTCCACATGGTGTTTCTTGGATAATGTTCTGGGATTTATTGGAGGTTTAATTACACAATTCTGAGGGATTATCATTTGCTGGTGTTTCTTAGATTTTCTGGACACGGGGGACCCCAAAATCATCCAAGATTTCTCCAGTCTTCATGGGACAAGCATTGGTCTTGGGGCAGACTATTGGTAGTCCAATTCTTAGGGATCCAATGGATCCACACCTAGATGGGGATGGTCATGGGGATTCACTAACCGTGGAACAACAAACATGGGGTGTGCAAGATTGGTGGCATGACCAATGTGGGGACGCATAGAACGATCCAAAGATCATAACGGGATATGATGCGGTCCTTTTCCCATGACCATTGCCATAAATTTATCGGATACTGTATCCCCAATGCCTGGACCACCCTATATCCATGTTGACCCCAAGCATTGGGGCGAGTCCGAAAATGGCCACCCCTAATTTCATGGCTGAGAACATCATTTTCTCCAAGAATGGCCATAGATTGGGCCTAACAGGGTCCTCCACTTGAAGACAAATTTGGAGTCGGCCATTTTTGGAGGTTTCCAATCCATGGAGGTACCCCAAATCATCCAAGTCATGAATGGCCATTTTCTGGTTGGTGGCTTCAAGCCCTCTGAAAAACATGAGTTCGTCAGTTGGGATTTTTTATTCCCAACTGAATGGAAAAATAAAATTCATGTTCGAAACCACAAACCAGTTTTAGTATTGAAACAAGCATGGTGATTTGGGGATCTACCCTTTTAAAGAATCCGCAATTTACATCTGCCTCGAGGTCCAAATTTTTGCTGGTCACCTGCTTGTAGAGGCTCTCCTTCAAGGCCTCGACTTCGGGTGAATTCGGGGACCAAGGTTTCGGAAAAAAAGGTGGTGAAAGCAACAAACAAAGGATATGAAGATATGAAAAAACCAACAGTTCAATGATGGGTAAATGATATAACCAGTGAATGGTAGATAACCAACTCATTCCGATTAAATGGTAGATCAACTGAAAAACCACTGGCTCCAGGAGCTAGATCGATCACTCAACGAGCAGCAACGATGGAATCAACCGATTCCGGGGGTTTCTGTAAGTTCAATTAATAGCAATTGCTGGTTACATAACCATCATTAGTTGATGTTAATGGCCATTAATTGCCATTGGCGTAACACTGAACCAACTCTCCAGCTTCGAGCTTTTCTGCTATCTTTTGTGTGCGATGTGGTTACAACTGTCGGCATCGTTGCAGGTCAGATCATGCCCATTTTCCATGGAGACAAGTCCGATCAAACAAATATGGGTGTATCGTATCATACGACATCCCCGCTTGTTTTCTCTGTACCAATCTTAAGAAACCTGTAATCGGCGGCTTGAAGGAAGTCTTTGGTACAGTTTCTGCAGCATGGGTCACCATCTATAGTGAGGTCCCTTGAGGTTATCGCGCATTCTCAAGACCACACCAGTGGTAAATGTCCCCGTACTCCTGGACCAAAATTGCTGGCGATGTTTATCCCTCCAAGTTGGTTTACAATCGCTGTTGGGTTTATGGTTGTTACAACTATAGTTAGATGGGGTTCTAAACCAACAAAAATAACGTTTGGGGGCCCGGATTGTAGGTTATGATCCATCCCCACAATGCACATCTTCATTCTTGGTGGCTTTTTATTGGATCCTCTGGGTGGCTTGCCGCTTGTGGGATGTAAGATTCCCCCACTTGTCGCTGCCTAGATCGCAAGGTTCAATTGGTCATGGAGGTTGAAGAAGGGGCCAGCCATTACTCATCACGCTTGGTGAAATCAATGATTTTGTCGGTCACGCACCAGTTCTCGCTAAGATAAACTGTTTCTTTTGCAATCTCTGTGTTTGTCGTATCCATACTTTAGGCCATTTAATCCTTTTTATGCTGGGATTCCTTGATAGATATTGCTGCCAGTTGTGGATCAAGCTTCGATTGCTGTACCCTCCAAAAAAACACAGTATGCTATGCAATCCATGGCCCATTTAGTTCAATGCTTTACTTATTATGGCTGTTTTCCATAGCTGTGTTAAACTACCACAGGGTACATCTCTTGTTGCTCTGAAGTTCCAATCTTTGTCGCCTTAAGCTCCGATTTTTGGCACCGGCTTGGCTCACAACCACGTTTGATTCCAACCTTCTATTCAAAAATACCAAGGCTATTCCAAGCACGCAAACATAGGGACATATTAGGATGAAAACCTATGCCTACTTTGGCTGTAAGAATTGGTGCTTCTCCCACACCCCGAGGCCCGTTGCATGGTCCATGATTTACCATGATCCATATGTACATATCTATCGATCTAATGTACCTATGTATTCATGTGTCTATTATCTGTGTATCTATCCATTCTATCCCATGAAATCTCCATGGTCCCCATGAAACCACTATCATCATCATCATCATCATCATCATCATCATGTTTGTAAGTTCAAATTCCATATTTTTGACCTATTCTCTTTACATTCCCATAATATCCCTCTAACATGTCGGATTTTACACCTCCATTATATCCAACTAGGTTGGTTCAGCCCCCGGCTACCAGTACAACATAATCCCTACTATATCCCCTTTGTGAACCCTGCTTGAACCCCTATAATGTGGGTAAAACAACCGAGAGTGGAGAAGATGATCCATGGTACTTCATCGATGTGCAGGTGATATTCTACAAGCGTGAAATCATACCTTGCTCGGCTAGCACCGATTGTAATGGTGCCACTCACTGCGAGAAAACGGATGTCCTCAGCTTGTTGCATATTCCATTGCATCCCTCCGGAGATGTTTTGCAAGCGTGCATCGACGACAGCAATGTTACCAGAGGGATGCGGCATTCTATCAGGCTGGCAGTGCTCCAGCTACAGGTACCCTGCAGTGGACACACGTGTCTGGACGGAGGCGGTGCACAGCGGGGGCGTCGTATGGCGAACGCCCCAGACAGGTGCAGCAAACTGGTGTGTGCAAGGCGCAACAACCAAACAGTGGGTACCCCACGTTGGCGTCGAGTTTGATGCTAGCACGGGTCGCATCCCCCAGTCATCACCATTTTGAAAGGCATGGTTACCATTCCCAAATGGTATAAACCATTCCCAGTCATGTGTGGTTTATGGCAAGGTTTTACCCACACTAATCCAATTATCAACCATTATCAACCATTATCAACCATTATCAACCATTATTGACCATTATTAACCATTATTAACCATTATTAACCATAGATTAACCATAAGAAACTTCCTGCGTCCAGGGGCGTTTTGCAACTTCCGGCGTCTGTGCAAATGCGCCGCCACTTGGGCACGGCTCCTGGGAGACGGAGAGAGCTGGAGCGAGAAAATCCCAATGGGTTCATCTTTTTGGCACATGTATGCTACTTCAATAATATATATATATATGTATCAGCGTATCTAAACATTAAAATAGCAATATCCCTCAATGGACCTTAGGGGTAGGTCCATTTGAGGGCGGTGACCATCGCCCTGAGATGTAGAGGTGGATGGTTGAACTACTCGGCTGTGATCGAACCCGGAACTTTTTCTTGACCAGTTTGATTCTTTGGTAGGAAAACATGGAGAACATCTGGATAAATCACTTTTGCGGTGTGCTATTTTCAAACAGGCCCATGTATTTTGCATTGTTCATTTCTTGTAAAGACTTGGCTATCACCAACAGCGGGTATTCTGATGCTAAAGTGGCGATTTTTTGCACCAAAACAACAAACGCAGCAGAGCATTGCCAGTCGTCGATTCCCGGAACATTCCAAAAGAGGAACAAACCCAACCCTTCCAACGAACACATGTTACTAAACCCCAATTCTGGGCTGTTTGCCAGTTTGTATCTCTTAGTATCAGTTGTTTGCCATTCACTGGCGATCTTTTAAATACTGATCTACCATGTTCTAAAAACCAATCTTTGATCAATCAATAACTCAATGCAGTTAACACAATCCCCAATGACTTTCCATAAATGGGTGGTAAAAAACACATTCCCAAATGGTAGGTTTATTATTGGGTTGACCACATCATGATAGATCCTCACACTTGCTGCCAGGAAATCTAAATAATATTTGTTTTTTACATTCATATCCCAGAATTATTCCAACATATTCCCATTAATCAAGCATGAACCTACTCATGAAATACTGCCATTCAACTTCATATTTTGTTGGCTGAACCACCACAAAATTGGGATAATCAGTGTATTCAACCATTGAATGAATTTGATTCAGCGAACACTTTTTATTTTTCAATCAGCCTAATAAACAAATAGACTTTCATTAACCTCCCAATACATCCCAATTTTTCTTGCTAAAAAATCACCATTTTTCCCAGTTGCGACTTATTCCCCATTTTCATGGTATTCCCCCCGTCGGCCTTTTGGGCAGGTCGGCCAAGGCTTCCAAGAAACGCAGCAGCAACGTCAAAGACAAGTCACTGAGCCGCCTGGGGCGATTGGCGATATATATATATAATGTATGTATATATATATGATGGTAAATTGGCGATATACTTGGATGAGGAAATGAATGATAGTTAAAACGTGGCAAGCTGGGAAATCCCTGATCAGTGGAGCTTTTTGTGAGGGGAAAATATGGAAGATCCAAACATGTGGGATTTTCCGTTGCCATGGTTAAAACTGGTGGGAATAGGATTGTTCATTGGTAGAGCCATGGCTACAATGCTAAGTTGTACAGTTGTGGTTATGACTATAATGTGGTTGAGAAACTCTGATTCTAACTGGCTCGCCATGGTTATGGTTCCTAATCACTGGATAGATGGTGGGATTGTCAGTTGCTTAATTTATCCATACGTTTCTAAAGCTGGAGATGGAATTCGTGGCGATCGTTTGTGGATACGATCACGGACCATCCCTAGATAGTTCATGATTTAAAATCACTCACCAACCTGAAAATAGTTCTTATCATACGGCCATGTGGGGATGATTCCCCATCTAAGCATCATTCCAGTGACGTCACGACCTGAGGTCATAAGAAGTTAACCATATAGCAATCCCAAAAGAATAGAAAAATACAATCCGAGTAAAACATGTGATCATAGAATTGGATGATGGGACAATTTACAGGAAACCCCTATATTTGCTGGTAAAAACAATGGTTTCCTGTGGATTTTCCCTTAAACCAATCCATTAAGATGAATATAAAACCAGTGAAGTATGAACATGTCACCACTTTCGGTGTTGCCCAGCCAGTCTTTCTTGTCCTCGGCGGAGGCGGCACCTGCGAAGGTACCTGCTGGAACTGGTCCAGCGTTAGAGGGCTAGGCGGCGGTGGGGGTTCCACCGGCGGTGGCGGTGGTGGTTCCGCCCGCGACTGTCGCCTTGCTTCCGACTTCTCCGGCCACATGTTGCAACCAAGTGTGCTACCAACAACCAAGTTGTTGTTGAAAAATGTTGCTGGTTTCGCACTTCAGCCATGTTCATTCTATTGTCCAGCTCTTTCACCTTTGCGACAACCTGTTGTTCCTGTCTCGGAAATGGCCAAGTGTCAGCGCTTTTGGCGACAGAAGCGGTGTCACTCTGTGCCAAACAGCTTGAGGTGAAATGGCACGGTTCTAACCGTGGTTATAAGTGGGATAAGTAGGGTTACAACCCACTTACTAACTGGGATGAACCGCCAAATACGAACATATCACCAGTCGCCAAGTATGGTTGAAGAATTAGTGGGATGTGAAAATGGGATGTTAGTGGGGTGGTTGATCATATTATTACTATGTTTTTTAGGGGACCCCCCCTATATTTGTTATGGACCCACCCATATATACATTTATAAATATATATACATATATTAATATATAAGTATAAATATATATATATATATAGTAATTTATGGAAACTCCATGTATATATATACACATACATATATACATATATAGGTGCGGTGCTGCTATCGCCCCCGTTCCCCGTTCTAGGCCCAGGTGCATGGCAGCTGGCAGGCGATCCAGCAGCAGCTCCAAGAGGACCTGCAACAATCCCGCAATTGGCGATTGAAACAAAAACATATATACTGTATATACTGTATGTAGATACATATAGATATAGATATATGTATATGTCTATATCTAGGGCTATTGAATTGACAAACATGGTGATTTAGCCAAACATGGGATCCAACTAACAAAACAGCAATGAAGCTGCACTGGCGCGGCTAGCGAAACACGCTGCGGGCTGACCTGCCCAAAGTGCTCCTTTGGCTAAGAAATCATGCCGTTCTTCCACATGAAAGGTCATGGCCAAGCAAAGACAGGTTTGGCGCAGAGCGACACGGTTGCGATCTTTTACGCCCCTTTGCTTCCAAATCGAGCCGAGGCCGGAAGCGCGCCCATTTTTTGTGCTCGAAGGAGGAAACATCGGGATTTGATTAATAGAAATTGGGCAAGCAATCAGCAAAAATGGGGGCAGTCCACGGGAACCGGACGTCATAGAGCTGAAAGGCTGCATGCTCTCTCGACATGAGAACGAGCGAAGCCATTAAAAAAGAAGAAATCTGAAGTCAAAACCAAGCAAGAAACGTGCCTCACACTAGACTCGCTTGAACCCCTCATGGCAGGAACCCAGACAGACCTAAAACTGAAGGCTGTCGATCGCCGTGAGCGCATCGACAATTTTCTCGGCGCCTGGGGGCATGTCGCTGAGGTTGGCGACGATACCCCCGGCGATTTTGGCCTTGACCCAAATGGACAATTGTCCAGGGGTCTCAGCTTCTTTCGCCTCTTTCAGGGCACACTTCACAGCGAACGCCTGCTCGTTGTCAAGAGGGTCCCCTGGAAAGGCCCCTCCTGCTGCAAGAGATAAATTCTCTTGCAGCTTCTTTCCCAGCTTCTGCCCGAAGGCACCACTCTTCTGGTCCATCTCCATGGCCAGAGTGACAGCAGTCACTCTGGCCTGCTGGTTCGCGGTGAGATTGCCCGGAGTTGGCCTGTCGATAAGGCCCTTCACGTTCTCCGTGCCCCCAGTGAGCGGGATGATATTGGGATATTGTTTTGAAAAGGCATTTAACCATCAACATGTAGAGATTTGACCATGAACACTGATGGATTGGGAAACCATGGGGTTTTACGCCCAAATGTAGGGTTTTCCTTTGAATTTTCCTGCAACCAATTTTGGAAGTGTTTCATAGCCACTAAAACCAAAGGTACAATTGGTATTTCATTGGCTTGTAGCTGGTACGTACTGCCAGATTTTTGAAGTTGTTAAACACAAAAAATGTGAAACTTAGGGATAGTGGATTTACTGGACTACCTAAAATAGCCACTTAGTATCCAAGAGCTGCATCTGGAAGTCTAACATTTAAGCGCAAATTTCTTTCCTCACACGATGTACATACACAACTCAGGATAACATCCCGCACACACACACACGTATATAAATGGATTCAGAATGCCAATTTCATGACATTTCAGGCCCAAAGAAACAATTTTCTGTTCCCTTTTTCTGTTCCCTTTTTCTGTTCCATACAGTACCCGTTCCTTGAAGAATCATCCCACTTGGTTACCAACTTTCGGTTGATAAGTGGGATACCATGGGATACCACCGCACGTGGCTGTCACTGTGACCAGAAAGGTTTGGTCAACATCTCCCCATTTTCACAGGCAAATATGCCCAATCCCAGGTATCAAGCATAAAATTGGCCAAAGATCAAATTGTAATCCCATCCACCGAAAAAATCCACACCCCCATTCTATGGTCCCAAAGAAAGCTTAATCTCTACTAACTTACTAGAACCATGATTTTTAGGCGGTGTTGAATGTGAATGGGGGAACAGATTACTGGCCCCTACCAGGAAGATTCAGCCATGTTCAAGTGAAGCTTTATAAGATATGAGATGGGGGTTGATACTCCACAACTATCCCCATATTCTGCGATGACTTATCGGACATAAAGCCATTTTTGGATGATCCGCCCTACTTCACGCCGTATGATGTCCTTTTTGAATTTGGATGTCCATAAAAGGTTGTAAACAATGGGTAATAACCAAATTAAGCCCTAATACCTTAGTTATTAATAATTAATCTGGTGATTACCAATTTTTAATTTTTGGTAATACCCATGCTGTACCTAATACCCTAGTTATTAATATGCTTTAAAGAAAATGTATGGCTGAACACAACCACAGATCCCATCATTTTTTGGGTTCAGTCGTGCCTCATCTTCCAAACGCAAACCATGCAGCGCCTCCAGCAGGTGTACCACTGCCTGGCTGACGATGGGGTGATGCTTGAAGGACCCCAGAAAGACTGGGGATAGCAACCAAAGATGAAGGCAACAAAGGGGATACCTAGAGGTAATGGTTGGGATACTAGAATCTGATCGTTGAGTGGTTGAGGTCAAAGTTGTCGAAAAATCTATGGAGTTATATTGAGTTGATGTGCAGCCAATAGTGTTCAGTAACATAATCCCCAGTGAAATGCCGCATATTTGAAGCAGCAATACTTGATACCTATGGAAATGACCCTCAGGGATTCAAGTCCAACGTGCCAAACGTGCAGCCAAATGGTAGTTGAAGGACCAAACATTTGGCCAAATCACTTTCAGGATATGGATGTAACATGATGTAACTATGTATGTAGCTATGTCAAACATTATGTAACTGGTCTGACAACCTAAAATTTAAAATTCTAGTGGCCCATTTTCATCTCAAATTGAAACATAGCAATGGAACATGGCCCATTTATGGATGATTTAGCTATTCACAACAAAGCCGTGACTTTCTGACATGGTGAATCTTAGATACCTGCCAAAAAGAATCTAATTCGAAAGTGGTTAGTACATTTGACCTTTGAAACTGCAGAAGATTAAAGTACGGGTTCATATCTAACCAGTCGGTTGATCCAGCTATTAACATAGATGGAACACGTTCCATTTATGGATGATTTACCTATAACACATGGCGATTTTCCACAAACTGTTAAATGGCTAGAATGGACAATTCCATACAATTCTCGATCTAGCATGATCTAGCGATATGTCTTTCCCAGCTATAAATCTCTACAATGTGACCCCCCCCCAGTTATAAGTTGGTTTATAAGCCCCAGTAACTATAGTTATAAGTACCATAAACCATAGTTATTGTAGTTATAAACCAACTTAGCTATCTTGGGGGCGTCACATTGTATAGATTTTCCATAGCTATGTTTACCATTCCTCACGGCCAGCATTTCTCCGCACCTCCAACTCCAAACGCCAAGGGCCATAGCCTCTGGAGCGCAAGGCCTGTGCCGAGATGGACCCGTGGGAGGAATATGATCAATCAACAATTGTTAACAATGATATACAATTATATATATGTATGTATGTGTATATATATATACACCTAAAAATATAATCAACAATCAATGGGTGTTCAGGATTGAACCTCACGCGTTATCAAATGCCGCAGTTTATCATAGCTTCGCAAAGTCTGGACTGGACCCAAGAGGTTTCGGGAAGCTGGTGGGATCGTTCCGGCGGTAGCGACTAAAGCGGACTGTTCTGTTAGGGCGTTTGGCGAGGTCGGCGAGACCGTGATGAACAAGGGGCTCCCCAGACTCCACGCGGGCGCCAAACAGCATCTTGCCGATGCAGCGGCGTGCTTCGATGGTGCCCGGCAACGTGGGCTGCTGTCGTCGCTCTGGTGATAGGATGCAGTGGGAATATCGTGCAAATGAACTTGCGAGAGTCACCAAGACTTGGAGTACCTTCTAGTTATATTTGTTACAGTTTGCTATGATATAGAGGGCCCATGAAAATAGATGGTGATTGATGACTTTCCCAATGAAAAAAGGTGTTTGTTCATAGCTAAGTTGAACGACCACAGGGTACATAGCTAATCTGGTCGGTGCTTGAACCAATCCTGCCAGAAATATGATTCTTGGCTACAGGTCATCACCGACATATGGACGTTGAAAAAACACAGCTGAACGTAGGGTACCTCCAAAGTCTTGCTGGTGCTTAGGGAATGGGGCAATTTCAGAACCCATAAGAACTATGAAGAATCATCCCATTCCCCCATTCCCTACTAAGCACAAGAAACACAAGTAAGAAGATGCTTAAACGCATCATTCTCCCCATCATGGCCATAAGGTGGGGACGATCCCCAATGATGAGTTGAATCGAATCTGCAAACATCGTCTCTGTCCCCCAATGAAAAAAGCATCAATCCAACAAACATTCTCTGTTCTAAACCAAGTATCTATTGGACTTGGGTTTGTCGCAAAGTGGGGGATACACCAAAATGGCCATTTCAATGATAAAGCACGGGACTTTGGGCAATTGCTAAGCGGAGGTAATCATCAACCAACCATCATTTGTCAAATATTTCTCATAGGTTTGATACTTGAAACCACACAAACACCCATCATAATTGATTAATTGATGGTCAATTCCTATCAAATTCCCTTACATATAATCAATTAAATAGGATGAGTATCATAAATAGGATGCAACCATAAATTCCTACAAGGTGGTGCCCGATAGTTGGCTGAGTTCGTAAACACAACTGCAATAACGGGGTTTATGGCGAACATATCGAACTAGTTACTAAACAGGTACTGTGTTCAAACCAGCATATAGTAGAAGATTCTAACTGGTTGGTGGTTTTAACCCCTCTGAAAAATATGAAAGTCAGTTGGGTTTAGTATTCCCAACTGAATGGAAAAAACATGTTCCAAACCACCAACCAGTGTTACTATGTTACTATGTGACTACTGTGGATGGAAGAAATCCTGCACCACCTTGGATGGTTGAAACCCTATAAATAATGGGATGTTTACCATCTATCAACTGGTGCAGGATTTCACAACCATCCACTGTATGTTACTATGTTTCCCCCAAAAAGATGTTACCATGAATTTCTAGCCCCTGCATGGCCTGAAGCAGCTCTTCCACGCAACTCACCGGTAGAGCGCTTCGCAACTCAGGGTTCCTGTGCGACGATGCGACGCAGGACATCAAGTCATGGTGCTTTCCTAAGTCATGGGGGTACCCCCAGTTCTCATCCATTTTTGTTAGGTATTTTCCAGAAAATAATCCATTTTACATTTATGGAAACCACCAAATATGGATCGAAATGAGATCGTGTTTGATTTAATGCGGTTTTAGTAGAAGAATGGGTGGATTTTCTGAACATAGTTTTTTTTTTTTCCATGGGGTTCTTCCCAGTTTTTTTAAAAACGATTTCATGATGATTCAATGGGACGTTTAAATGATTTAATCGGATTTTAATGATGATTCTGATTCTGTTCATGCTCTTAAATGCTGGTTTCATGGAGATTTTCGAGGAATTTCGCCAACTTTTTGATGCTTTCAATTGGGATGTAGTTAGTAAATGCCAGGGTTTTGATGGTGAAACACTGCCCCTTTTCAAAACTGTCAAAGATTGAGCCATGAACCAACGATTCATCAAGGTTTCTCTAGAGAAACAGTCCATTCTGTCGGACGATGCGTCAACGGTTTGGTGAAGACCCCCCAGTGATGGATACACAGATACACCTTTTTCTTTTGTTATCAGGTGTATCTGATGATTGTTTACCCTCCAATCAAGCTGGAAAATCGTTTTTTTTCCGTCACTTCGCTGATTTTCCACCTGAAAAAACCGGGTATCCAAAAAAGGCCGTCCGCCTGGACAGCGTGGAGAGCACGGCGATGTAGTCCTGCGCAGGTTTGACGATCCAATGATTCGATGTAACAGTTTGCCATGGAAAGATCCACCATTTTTGATAGGTAAACACAGGTAAACCATCTATTTCTATGGGCCATCTATACCATGCCTATGTTAGTCATAACCAGAGGGTAAATTTTGTTTAAACAAATGACTTTTTCTTCCTTTCTGCAAGGTGATCGCTACACATATGGCCATGACTTATCTCATCTCCGTTCTGGTTCGCTGGTACGCCGCCATGATCTCGAAGACTTCGCGACGAATATAGTCCAGTTGAGCGGATTCTCGTCATGGCCTGGCCTACCACTCCCCAAGTTGCACGGCTTGCATCCAATAAATCGAGCTTCATCCAGCTCCACAATACATAGGGGTTCCATCTCCCGGCAGTGGCAAGTTGCCAACCGGAGTACAAGTAGTAGTAGCAGCAGAAGAAGAAGAAGTAGCCCCTGCTGGGATACCATCGTCCCGTCACCCGGCTGTCAACTGCTAAGATGTCACTTGGGAGCTCCGCAGATTGGAGTCAAAATAAGGACACATACCCGATCATTCCCCAAATGGTGGACTAGTCTGTGTGCGAAATCAACAAATCATCTTAAACAAACATGCGATCAATGATCAATAATACTATAAAACAAATTCATAACCAACAATGCTATATATATAATGTACACCATTGATACCCCGTAAATTAACATTAACATAGATGTCGAAAACCCACCATTGGCAAATTATTATCATTCGGGTTTTCCCAGGGTTTTTCCGCATCTAACCCCACATTGGTGGGCCTCCCCCCCCACTTGTCTGGAAAACGGCTGTAGCTTCACCACTTTTTTTGGTGCATTATTTACCATGCGTGAGCCATTTATCAACCATTTACTAACTACTTACCAACAAATTGCAAACTCTTTATGATTAATTTGTTACTTGCTTGTTCAACACGTTTTTTGTTATTTGATGGTCATTTGTCAACATCATGGTATATGCATTTTTAAACACATTTATGTATATGGTGACATTGGTCATCCTTCCCATTTCGGAATCCAAACATCGGTACCATTGGATGATGGATTGATGACCTTGATGACCATCCCGCAGGAACACAATCCAACGCAGTTGACCATACGCTATTGCTGTGTCTAGACATGGGCAAAAATTAGCGCAAAAATGTGCTAGGCATTTTATAGGGGAACATGGTGATTAGTGAATAAAATCCCCCATTTCCTCCACTTGTAGGCATTCCCCACCCAATTAATCATGAATTAAAGCCATAGTGTACTCTAGTCACTAGGGCTGCACGATTTTCAGGTCCAAAAAAAACCAATGTTTCGTTGTTTCGTGCCTGAGCTGAGAGCCGATCCAAGTGTCTCAAGATGGTCTCGGACAAAGTCCTCAGGATGCATCAAGAATGGTCAGCCTGTGGCTATGTGGGGATGAAAGGTTCATGGATGCTGGTAAATAGTGATGAATAATGGTTTATAATGTTAATTGATGGTTAAAAATGGTTGAGACTGGTTAATCTAAAATCCGCCACAGCAAATGAAGAATTGTAATTTGGTGATGAATCAAAAGCAATGGATATCCCTTTTTAACCAACAAACAAAAGCCATTTCATGCAACACGATTGTGAAAAGCAGCAATACTGTGATTGAAACGAGCAACACATATTGCTTAAATCAAGTCTTGTGTGTTTTCTGACAGCAACAGTAACCAACAATTGTAGGCCGCAAGCAGGCAGCTTTCACGGAGAAATTATATGAACCTTATCCAAAAGATGAACACCAACAACCACTGGCACGATTGGTGAATCTTTCATACCAACTAACAACAAGAAGGGACTTTCCACAAAGATGGCACGCCACAAAAAGGACATTCCCATCAACTTGGGGATCTCACGAACCACACATTTGGGACAAGGGAAGATATACACAGCCTTATTTTTTGGGCTCAAAACTTATCTTTTCAAATCACCATCTGTCTGGCACGAAACCATCACTTCAGGTGAAATTGAGCTAAATTCAGCCAGAATCATGGTGAAATATAACATGTTTGTATACATATGTTTATTTATCTGTATATATATATATATATACATGTAATTATTATATTTGGCTGGTTTATATAGATTCTATAGATTTATACACACATTTCATTTATCTGGCTGATTTGTAAGGCGAATTTCGCACCATTTCCCCTGACGAAAGATCATTGGTCAACTCGCAGTCAGGTCGTTGTAACTTATCCCGAAAAAATGAACACTTGTAGAGAAATGTATGGTTTATGAGGTTAAAAATCAGATAAGTGTCTGGTTTATGGGTTACAAATCCAACAAACATAACTAGAGGGCACCAACTTGTAAATCCAATAAACCATGGCACTGTAATAAATCGCCACATTAACTCCCATTCAACCACTTCAAATGTAGTTTCCCTACTATCCATATCCATACATTGTAGATCACATCTGTTGGTGGCTATTTTTTACCCACATTTATGATAATCCATTGGAATTGGAAGTACCCGATTTTCAACCCAAATAAAAATGGCTGGCTAGGGATTAGCATGAATTTGGAAATATAGTTGGACTAGAATGGGCATAACATATGGGATATTTTATGGAATTTTATAACCACCTGTCTGTGTCTTTTGGAGTGGGAACAGTTTTGTATGCCTTTCGGTAATCAAGCATGGCTGGCAAATCCCCGAACTCCATGGAGGTATGATGTTCGCTGTGAAATCATCGACAGCACGCCACGGATTACCGGATGGTATATGGAAATTAATGGCGGATTATATGGCTCTTGATGTGTTGCTAAATGGTGGTAAAACTGTATAGCCAATAAACATTGTTTTTATAGGTGGTATAAACTTACCATTCCCAGTCAATGACACAGTTTTACCCACATTACCCTCTGGTAGACCAACATAGCTATGGAAATTGGCATATATATATATGATATACCCGTGAAACATTCTGACATTCTGATTTTCAATAGCTATGTTAAACTATCTGAGGCTACGCCTAGCAAAAAAAGTGGCCATTTGAAGAGTGCCTAGGCAAAACCATTGAAAAACCCATGATAAAACCTGTGATTTCATCGGCATGGCGCTGTGCGTTGCGGCCATGGCACTTCAGAATCTGATGGTCCAACTGCTGGGCATCTGAAAGGGCTACGAGGACCGTGACCGCATGGGTACCTTTGGAGCTGAGGGATAAAAACCGGGGATTTCATGGGGATTTCATGGGGAAAACGCTGGGCAAAAACTGGGGAAAAGACTGAATCATGGGAGAAGATCACTACTATTTTGCTACAACACCAGTGTCACTAATGATCAAAACTATGGTATCTATTGGGATATGATATGACCAATGATGAAGCATCATCAGCATATTTGGGTTTGTCGGCACATTTAGCTTCCCGAAATTAGATGGTTCATCATCATCATCATCATCATCATCAACCACATGAAAATAGCCTTTTGTCGGTGTACCTCATTTTAAGACACACCCAAACATCAGAAAAACAATCTATAAATCCCACTAGATCCCATTAAAATCCCCATCAACAATCCCATTAAATCATCAACTCACCACCTTTCAGGCTTAAAAACCTCCATTTTTCCTATCCTTAACCCTACCCCAGCCCACAGCAGCTCCCAGGGGGCACCAAAGAGGACATGCGCCAACTGCTGCGCCCGGCGCTTCAACGCCGGCAGCAGCGGCTCCGCGTCCAACTGGCTGCGGCTGAGGCCCTGCAGGGTATGCGTCAGCCTCGTCATGGGATGGGAGGAATGCTCCATGGGGATTTAAGCTAGAGAAGATTGGGATATGAGGATTTCTTGGGGAAACAATGATATATATATCTATGTATATATGTTATATATATATAATGGGATTCAGCCAGCACATCTGACTTTCGATTGGCTTAAGGGAAAACTCTGCAGGAAATCCTTTTTTTCGCCAGTGGGTCTCTTGTAAAAATTCTCATCTCATCTCATTGAACCATTGATGAAACTGGGCCAGGGTTCAGATTTTTCACCATCCCAACATGGCATAGAATGACCATGGGAGCACAAACATGTCAGGCGAATTTCGTTTCATGGTTTCATCATCCCTCTGGAGCAATGGGAGATGTCCCTCTGGAAACATCCACCGAAACCGATGACCGAAAACCAGCGCTATTTGAAAAACCTCCGTTTTTCGTTCAGGGATTCACCGCTGGGCCATGTGAAAGATTGCCGGAGGGTAAAACGAACCACCCGTTTGATTTTTTTCTTCTCAGCAAAAATCGACTATGTCCAAGTATTGTTCATGGTCATCGGCTGTGCAATGAGACGAGTTTACCTTGTAAAACTGAGGATGGACTGTGATTTAGCTACAGAAACTGGGTTACAACCCACATAAGTTCGTTCATAAACCCCTAACAATACTAGTTCGATGTATCTACCATAAACCATACTTACTAGACTTATTTACACGAACTTAGCTATCGTTCCATTGGGGTCGCTACCGGCCAAATATTTTATACTAGAGTAATAATAATGATCCTAGTGAAAATGAATCGCCATAAAAAACATATAAACTACATCGTCATTTTCTTTCTGGTTACAGCTTACAAATATATATTTATAAATATCACCAAATATATTTTCATGGTTGCAGGCCATCTACCCTATGATAGATGATTTTCCCAGCTAGCCATGCTTCATTATCCTATTGTCTTCCCGTTAAATCCCATCAAATCCCTATTTGTTGATGGTTAAACGAAACCTCCATTTCCCAGCCATTTTTGACTACCGGAGGGTAAATCCATTATTCTATATGGATGTTTAAGACGATTCCATATGGGTTTAATATCATTTACCTTCCAGAATGGTGGGTTATTATGATTTACTTTCCAAAATGGGGATGGCTCGAAACCTATTAGTACCATATTTGCACACCTAGGGCACCAGGGTTTTGACTCCTAGCCAAATGGAGGTTTAACCATCAACAAGTAGAGATTTGTTGGTATTTCATTTGATGGGATGATAACCACACAACATGAAGGGTTTTATGTTAGTTTAGCTGGAGTTCATAGAGTTGAATAGGGATGATAATGGGATAACCAGGATTTTAAGATAAGTGGATAAGTTGTTTGTGACATATATTCAATAGATTCAAGCCGAGTATATTTGGGGTATAATTTCGGGATGCCCCGTTGATTGAGGTTCAAGGGACTGCTTCGGCGATAGCTCCGAGGCCACTTCCATGGCGCGTTGCGTCACGGCCGGCAGCAGCGCGGGGACGGCGTAGGAGATCTCGGTACAATGTGGACAGACGTGGAGAATGGGCAAAAGTGGGGTTTCCCCATGGCCCATGGAGATATATCGTAATTTCTATAGTGAATCTCTACAATGATGTCAAATGTATATATGTATAGTAGTTGTCAAGATGCAAAATTTGGTGAAATCCGAATCTAACATAGAGATCAATGGCACTTTTTTGGGCATCGTTTTGGGAAAGAACTATATCATCGTTTGATTTTGTTCATAAAGTATACAATATAACCGGCTATTATGTCTGACAAAAATTGGGATTGAACGATGAGAAGTGGAACATACCCCAATGGCCATTTTGGAAGAAATGACGTCAACACAAAACACTTCAGTTACCCTCTGGTTATTCAACATAGCCATGGAAAATCACCATTTTTAATAGGTAAACCTCTATAAATGGGCCATTTCCCATGGCTATGTTAAATAACCAGAGGGTAATTGTTATTGGGAGATCATCCACATAAAATGAGGCCATCTTAGTTTGATAAAACCAGTAATGGCGTGAACATGTCATGCACATGAGGGATTTGACACGACCAGAAATACGTTTAAACAATGAACATGTTACTACAACAATTGACAGCAGGTGGATTTTATAGTGCCAACACGCCGGAGGTTTCACACAACAACTTCTCAACCTTTTCTGATGTGGGCAAGTCCCGGAAGGATTAAGGCAACCCCCAAAAAGATAGAAACTGAAACGTATTTCCAGGATGGTACTTCCATGATGTTTCCTCCATGTTTTCCAGGCCAACTTTTCTTTGCCGCCAGCGGTTCCACACGTTTGTAGAACTCCATCCTACCCGTGATCCACTGGTTGTACAAGGCCTCCGGCGGCTCGTCCAGGACGTAGGGCAGCCTGCCCTTGTGCCTGCCCAAGATCTGGAGGAACCTTGTGCCCCCCTCTTCCAGCCTTCCAAAATCCCTTGCAGTATTTGCACATGCCGCCAGTGGTGACGCCCTTCTCCTTCGTCACCACCTCCCATGAGGACACGCCATGGAGGAGACGTTGTGAGTCGTCAGCGGCGGGTGATGCCGCTACAACCCATCCGTGGATGTCTGAGAGAAATTAACCCCTGGTTCGTGACTCTTTCCATCTAACTTTTAGGTGTAATTCCATCTAAGCGCCCTGTCAAATACTTGATTTTCTGGAAGTAATTATCACAACTTACTGGTACTTAGTAAGGAATAGGGGAATGGGATTCTTATTGATACCAATTTCTGGATCCTTCCCCCATTCAAAACTTTCCGGTCTCGGAATCCCGGAGGATGGATGGGATGGATGGGCCTTGTCGAATCCGAAAGATCAAGTGCTTCTTGCCTGATCAATATCTATTTAACCTATTTGTATAGAATATCATGGGAACATCATGGGTTTTGTTTATTCAATATGGATTTGCATGAATTTTCATTCTGAACGAAAATCATGGGATCGTTACCTGCTAACTATTGAGAGACTGGGATGGGACCCGCTTGTAACTGGTGGAATTCACATCAGTATCTTGGGAGTGGATAGTTTACAAACTTCTATCTTTGGGAAGTGCTTTTTGTTAAATCTCCAAATGTTATAGGTACAAGTCCCCCTACTGTGGATGGTTGCGAAATCCTACACCAGTTCATAGGTGGCAAACATCCCATTATTTATAGGCTTTCTACCATCCCAGGTGCAGGATTTCGCAACCATCCACAGGATGAACCTGGAAATCAGCATTCTTCATCCGGTTGGTGGTATACCTACCCCCCTGAAAAAATAAAAGTCAATGGGAAGGATGACATCCCATATATGAAATGGAACATAAAATCCATGTTCCAAACCACCAACCAGATGTCATGGAAGATATAACCCAAAAGATCATGAACACCCCCCCAAAAAAACCCATGAAATCCCGTACTATTCCTATGAAACACCAGTTCATGGTTGGTTCATAGTGATTCCACCCTTTGAAAAGGCCATGGCACAGGCGCAAAGACTTGGAAGGCCACTGACACCTCTTTCAGAAATAGATGGATTTCGGTGGGGCTGATGGGGACCCCAAACAAGCCATTTATTGTAGGGAAATGTAGGGAACATGGTGATTACCCTCTGGTAAACTAACATTATTAATGGGAAAATCCACTATTTCTATGGTTACTTGTTGATTTACCCTATGGTTGTTTGACATAGCCATGGTATAGATGGCCCATTTATAGCTATCCTCTGGGAAACGTTTACATAACGAACTGGAAAGATCCACCATGCTATTCATGGGTAAATCCACTATTTCGACTGGGCCATTTTCAATAGCTTTTTGCATTTTTCATGGGTAAATCCACTATAAATGGCTATTTTCAATAGCAAACTGTTTGTTTACCAGAGGGTAAGCAGTGGATTGGTAATGAATTTCGAGACTGCGACCGTTGCTGGATGGTCATTTGGGGAGATACAGCTACCATGGTGTCATCATGGCGCGTTAAGCGAGAAACTCGATGGTGCTGCATCCATTGGAATTCTGAGTGCTGTGTAAATCACCACAGTTTTTTCGCTGCTGAAATACATTGGAGAGCAAAATCCCAGCAGAATTTTCGGTCATAAATTCATAACTCAAAACCTTGCGAGTTCAGTGGTTACGCATGATTATATATATCTCAAGATGCGGCCTAGCCTTCGGATTTGTTGATGTGATTCATGACATGCGGCCTAAAAAATACCATCACGGAAAATGGCAACGTCATGCAACACACTTAGTATTTGAATCCCTTCCCCAGATCATATCAAATTCAGCTATTGGGGGCCTCATGTGGGGGGGATTTCGAAATCATCGTTGTAGGATGCGAGTACATCAATCTTGACTATCTAAATAGGAAAAAACATGATCGCGCCGGCAAAATGCCTATTTATTTGGTGATTACTCTAACAATCAATATTGTCCTTTCAGGAAAATAGAGGGCCCGGCTTGGTATATTATCATCGCCCTGTTGGGTGGAATCCTCTATGAACCAGTGGGAAAAGGACATCTTGCTATAACCATCCCTTAGACTATCATGTTCAGAAACTCAACTTGCAACTCCAACTGGCTCCGAGCTGTCTTTGTAAATGGAGGGAAATCCCAAAATGGGGGTACCCCAATAGCTGGATGGATGGTTTAGAAAGTTTAGAATGAACCATCCTATAAAAATGGATGATTTAGGGGTATCCGGTATCCCTACTTTAGGACCCCCCCAAATGGATTCAATGGATACCCATCAGCTCACCTCGTGTGCGCCCATGTCTCCAACCTTTCGCTGCAACATCTCCTGGGGATGGGATGGTTTTAATGATGGGCTTTCCTAATATGTGGTTAATATACTGTTAATAATGGTTAATGGTTAATATTAATGGTTATTATATGGTTAATGATGGTTAACAAAAAATCTGGCTGGTGGTTAAAACACCATCTTGAAAAATGATGGAGTTCGTCAATGGGAAGGATTATCTCATATATGAAATGGATTTATGGGAAATAAAACATGTTTGAAACCACCAGCCAGTTATGTATGATAGTTTACTGGGCATGTGCCACTAGGCGCCATCAAGTTGGTTAAGTGGATTTGGTCCCTAAGACATTCAGCCAAACAGTGAAGTATCATGGCATTTTTGGAGGGATTTTTTTGGGATCATTTCATGGGAATTTCCTGATGTCCAATATGAATCATTTATCACAGTTCAGGATCTTTTGAATATCCTTGGGGGATATTTTCATCACGGCACTCGTCAGGGGCTCATCCAGCAGGGTTTAGGGTCACAGTTTTTTCACATTTTGGAAATCCAGCTAACTATGGAAAGATCCACCATTTTTAATGGGTAAATCAATTATAAATGGCCATTTTCAATAGCAAACTGTTAGTTTACCAGAGGGTAGGTATGATGCCAACATCCCGCCCCTTCAAAAAGAAACCTCCATGGCAGCTATGGCAGCTATGGATGGAAGCGTTTACCCCTTCCTATCATTCTGTTCTGCTCCTGCCAAAAAAGGGGTTGGAAGATTAGTTTCCACGACAAAAAAAACATCTTCTATAGATCCTGAAAACCATCATACCTATGGGAAATGGTCAACTTATAGATGATTTTTGATGGTTTACCTATCAAAACCCATGGCTATTTTCAGTCCATGTCAAATAACCAGATGGTCATCAACCAACACTCAGCACAGCGTCCGCCAAGTCAGCCAAGAAGTCGGCTTCCGCACAACCTGCCTGCGAAGTAACCACGGGATCTTGAGGGAGAGCTACCAATCAAAACGATCACAATGTGGGGCCCCCAAGGTAGCTAAGTTGGTTAACTACAATCACTGTTGGGTTTATGGTTGTTAACTATAGTTGGATGGGGTTATAAACCAACTTATAGCGTTTGGTGGCCCGACATTATATCCGTTGAATATGCAGCTGATGATCTCGACAGTTGTCCAACTCTCCTCATGGGTTGCCCCCGAAATCGACATCAATTCTGCTTGGTGGTTGAGCCACCCATTTCAAACACATATCATATAGATTCATATAGTCAATTGGGATCATCATCCCATTTTTAGGGGGAAGCATTGAACAATTTGTTTTGCAGTTGAAACTAATCAGAATTCTTTCTCCTACCATCGTATGGGGTGTGCCAGAATGGGGGATACCCAATATATGACAATTTTATACAATTTTAATGGTAAAAACACATGGGACTTTGGAATTTTTCTATAATTTTCAGACCAACCCACAATGATATTGTGGGATAGATCCCCACTATACCCTGCCCGCTTATTACTGTCTGATTGCAGGGCAGAGCTTAAATTGCAACTCGAAATCAGCAACCAGAATTCGTTCTCGGGTCATTTTCTTGGATTTCTTTAAGTGAGCCATATACCCTCTGGTAATTTAACATAGCTATTGAAACTGGCCCAGTCGAAATAGTGGATTTTCCCATTAAACATGGT